TGTCGAAACAATAACTGTAAAGTGACCTCGAACGGGGATAGAACGTGTAACTTTTGTATAAATTACAATGCTAGTTTGATCATAAACAGTTCTCAGTACGTCTGTCTCGTCTTTACCCTGTCCTCAGACAGTTGGTGTTACGTTTAGAGTGGGTAAAGTTGCCCGTTCACCCCGTGTGGACAACATTTTCAAGCAGTCCAATCCTGTCCATAGTCACTTTATATCCCTTCTGAACTAAACCTATCTCGTTTTTAATGCGCACAACCCCGTTCTAACTCATTCTTCTAAACAAACTCATTTTCAGACACTTCTTCCCATTCTCACTACTTTCTCACTCCGTTTCTAGTGCGTGCAATCGTAATAGCAATCACTTCCTGGTTCGATTTATATGCCCATTCTTATTCCGTTCTCAGTTTCAAGGTGGAAACATTGACATCACCATGCCTCCAAGGAAGAAGAAGGGTGAACATCTAATTTATAAAGGGGTCAATGCGTTCAAGAAGTTCATCAAACATGGGAGGGGTGATTCTCAAGAAATTGTAGAAGGACTCATGATCATCAAGGCGGAGCTCCTCCATCAGTTGATGATAATGTCCCCCAGCTATTCACCTCTCAGGTTTAAGCCAGTTCCTCACCCAACACGTTCTTGTGTTTTCCTTCTTTCTTGCTCTACCAACTCATTGTACTCTTGCTCTGCTTCCGATAAAAATTGCAGGAAACCAGCATTCAATATTCTGACAGCTGCAAACTTGTTCATAGAAACTCTATCCCAAATGACGACCATGTTAAAAACGATGTATATATACCCTACCTTGTCATATCGTAATGCACACAGAGTTGTCATAGTAAGAACTGCATGAGAACTACATAAACATACTAACAACGAGTAGAACGTGATGAGAACCCATTGCAAACTGTTAAAACCGTGTACTACAAGTTTCTTCAGAACGATTCATTTTGTTTTGAACATATTTGCTTGGAATAGCGACTAACTAGAGTTCAGTAGAGTTCTGCAAACGGGATGGACCAGGTGGAAACTGTGTACAAACGTATTGCAATTGATGCCGGACTGCACTACGTCCGCACACATACCCAGTAAGATTGAAGCGCCGCGATTCTGTTCGTAGTATGGCAATTCCGTTCTTAGTATGGCAATCTCATTTTAAGTACGTTATTACTCCGTCCCATTTTGGGGAATTGACTTACAGAAGTCCTCTGAAAATCACCAACAAACATTGACACAATTGGGTGACAATTTGGATGTTCAAGAAACACTCATTACATCTTGTGGCCAGTTTGTGCGTTCTATGTAGGTACCAAATAATCCAGTGATGTCTGTAGATGACACAAGATATTGAATGAAAACCTCCCACCAACATCCAACAGTCTAAAACATCACATTGAACGAGTAAACTACAAAGTCCATGTTTGGAAACAGTCTCTGCAACCAATCATGAATATTCTTTCACCAGTTGACATGGTTGGAGCATTTGTGATGGTCAGCTATTCTGATGACAAGAGATCCTGCTCCCCGTGGATTGGTTGAACTGACATCGTGTAAATGCAAAAAGTCAGCATGCCAGCAGAAAGAATGATATAGTGTGCACAGAGGCATGTCTATTTGTATGGCAGATGAATGTTGCCCGAACACATTTGACTTTCACGCTCTCTGTAATATTCCAGCAATATGGCGACAGTCTGTAAATAATCGAGTCTGGACCAGACAACCCAGGGATCAACAGCATGAACATCAATCTGTGCAATTGGGATACGATGACATGTGTCAACCCAGTCAGCGAGCCTGACAACCCGATCCCGTTAGTTGCCTCTTACGACAAGCATGGGTTATTGAAGGTCCATTCTAACCCGGATCTTCACAGGTCCGATTGTGACATGAAGTAAGATATGAAATGAAAGAAAGTGAAAAGGAGGGTTAATTGCAAGCTTATGGATGTATCAAGAGTTATTAAGAGTTATCTGATAGAACAATTTGAATGCCTACAACCAAAGCTTTGACGTAGTTATCGGCCATGAAGCATAGTTTTGGACAATGTTATTTCATCAAATGTGAAGCTTTGATTGACCCTATCATTGAAATTTAGCTCTATTCCTATACTGTATTAAACATTAGACACCAAATGATTTGTTTGGATTTCATATCAGTACAAATTTACTCCTCCACTAAGTATATGTAGTTAAACTACAATGGCGGCCATTTTGGCGGCCATTTTGAATTCTTGGTAATATGTACACATTCTTAATAACATGCCGTCACTCTAGAAGTAAAGAGAAACCAAAAACAACTTGTTTTAGTAACAAAAATAATGTTAACTGCCATTAAATAAATCACCCTCACACATTTCCATGAAAAGTCGGAGAATCGCTAAAATACCCCTGTCTCAAAGAATAAGCTGTAAAACATTAAATTACCACGATATGACCAACCAAGTGACTTGTTTTGTGCCCAAGCCATCACTCTAGGAGAAATAAGTGTCAAAACACATCAAAAGTATCGACTTTGGATGTAAATGGAAACATTCGGTGTTCATTTTTATGTAGATTTAAGTGCTGAGAAGGCAAAACACGACAAAACAAAATGGCGGCCATAATGGCGGCCATTTTGATTTGTTTTTCAAAACAAAATTATGTCAAATAATTTCTACATCCTTTAGCAGTACACAGAAGTCAAAATGAAAGTGATCAGATTGATAGTAGTAAAACTATTAATGATTAACTTTGAGGTGTCGTCGGGCAGCAAACCAAATGTGACGAAAATGCCCCCAGACCCCCACCACATATAATTGCCTGTAAAAAAAACCTGATACCACAATCTGGGAGTATTACAGGCCTTTTCATGAGCCCAAGACATCATACTAACTGAAAATAGTGTCAAACAAAATCAGTACTGGGGAGGCTACGATTTGAAATTTTTCAGCTGCCTACTCCTGGACTTTATCATAACATTGGGACGGTGGGGTAGCCTCATGGTTAATGTGTTCGCTCGTCACGCCGAAGACCTGAGTTCGATTCCCCACATGGGCACAATGTGTGAAGCCCATTTCTGGTGTCCGCTACCGTGTTATTGCTGGAATATTGCTACGAGTTGCGTTCAAACTGTAGTCAGCGTCACCTAGAAAATTATACAAATTCAGCTGTTTTTATGTTTTATTTTTCTACATATTATCTGTCAACCTCAAGCAAATTGGTTTTGCTATGTTCCAGCATCACGATCCCCATTTTGTTTTACTTTTTATCTTGGTACCCAAAACGCAAATCTGCAATAAATGCATCACAAACTTAGTGATACAAAATATGCAAGAAACATTTTGTATGTTTGAGATAGGCAGAAGTCCGCTAGTATCAAACTTAGATATTAAAGTACAATTGCTTGTTAAAGTGACTCCCCCTAGATGTTTACTGAAAGAGCTTGTTTTGTAGACACTACCTGCCTCCTTTCAGATGACGTATTCAAAAGGACATAATTTATTCTAATGTTTTCACTTATTCATACATGATGTCAAGGGTTTAAACTAAATACTGAATGGTCACACAAGTGTCAGCTCACAATATTTTGTAAACAGTGCCAGCTTGAATATCTGGACACAATGTTTTTGAAAGATATAAATGGGAGTGTCCTTAAAAAACAGCCTCCATCTAAATATAATTCAAGCTATCCAAATCTTTGAATGTTGATTATGATGGGAAGTCATTCAATACTATACTGACCATATGTTATATGACATTATCTGAGGGCATCCCTTTAACTGTCCAGTACTGGTCGGTACTGTTCAGTGTTGTCCATTACAGTTCAGTATTGTCAGATAAGTAAAGTTCACTTCTATTCAGTAGCTGTCATTACTGTTCACTATTCACTGTTGCAGTACTGGTCATTACTGTTCACTATTCACTGTTGCAGTACCAGTCATTACTGTTCACTATTCACTGTTGCAGTACTGGTCATTACTGTTCACTATTAACAGTTGCAGTACCGGTCATTACTGTTCACTATTAACTGTTGCAGTACTGGTCATTACTGTTCACTATTCACTGTTGCAGTACTGGTCATTACTGTTCACTATTCACTGTTCTAGTACTGGTCATTACTGTTCACTGTTCACTGTTGCAGTACTGGTCATTACTGTTCACTATTCACTGTTCTAGTACTGGTCATTACTGTTCACTATTCACTGTTGCAGTACCGGTCATTACTGTTCACTATTAACTGTTGCAGTACTGGTCATTACTGTTCACTATTCACTGTTGCAGTACTGGTCATTACTGTTCACTATTCACTGTTGCAGTACTGGTCATTACTGTTCACTATTAACTGTTGCAGTACTGGTCATTACTGTTCACTATTCACTGTTGCAGTACTGGTCATTACTGTTCACTATTCACTGTTCTAGTACTGGTCATTACTGTTCACTATTCACTGTTGCAGTACTGGTCATTACTGTTCACTATTCACTGTTGCAGTACTGGTCATTACTGTTCACTATTCACTGTTGCAGTACTGGTCATAACTGTTCACTATTCACTGTTCTAGTACTGGTCATTACTGTTCACTGTTGCAGTACTGGTCATTACCGTTCACTATTCACTGTTGCAGTACTGGTCATTACTGTTCACTATTCACTGTTGCAGTACCGGTCATTACTGTTCACTATTCACTGTTGCAGTACTGGTCATTACTGTTCACTATTCACTGTTGCAGTACTGGTCATTACTGTTCACTATTCACTGTTGCAGTACTGGTCATTACTGTTCACTATTCACTGTTGCAGTACTGGTCATTACTGTTCACTATTCACTGTTGCAGTACTGGTCATTACTGTTTACTATTCACTGTTGCAGTACCGCAGATGTCATTTACTGTTCACTATTCACTGTTGCAGTACCGGTCATTACTGTTCACTATTCACTGTTGCAGTACTGGTCATTACTGTTCACTATTCACTGTTGCAGTACTGGTCATTACTGTTCACTATTCACTGTTGCAGTACATTGAGAACCTGGAGAGGCTGAAGAAGCTTCACACCCTCAACCTCAGCAACAACATGATTGAGAAGATGGAGAAACTGGACAAGCTGCTGCGTCTCCGAGATCTCAACCTGTCACATAATTCCATAGTGAAAATAGAGGGCATCGAAAACCTGGTCTTTCTGCAGACACTCAACCTCAGCTGGAATAAGATTGAGCACATTCCGCCATGGATCGGCAAGAAACTCAAAGCTCTTCGCAACTTTAATCTAGGTCATAATCAGCTTGCATCGGTAGGTTGAATCAGTGGTGAGAACGCTGGCTACAGAATGTCAGCAAGCAGATGCCAGGCGTTCACATGCACCAAGTCACTAAAACATAGACAGGCACTCTCTCAGACAACTCAATCAGACAATTCACTCACTCACTCAGACAATTCACTCACTCACTCACTCATTCAGACAACCCACTCAGACAACACACTGACAATTCACTCACTCACTCACTCTGACAACTCACTCAGATAACTCACTCAGACGATTCACTCACTCACTCAGACAATACACTCATTCACTCAGACGATTCACTCACTCACTCAGACAATTCACTCACTCAGATAACTCACTCAGACGATTCAGTAACTCACTCATATAATTCACTCACTGACTCAGACAACTCACTCCAACAATTCACTCAGATAACTCACTCCAACAACTCACTCAGATAACTCATTCAGATTACTCACTCACTCACTCAATCACTCACTCACTCACTCACTCACTCACTCACTCAGACAACTCACTCACTCAGATAACAGCTCGCTGCAGGCTGCCACCCTGGATCTGCCTCCTTGTTCTCATGTGCTCACCTCACTTATGATTGTCTTTCAGCTCAGTGAGCTGTCCAAGCTGAAGCCAATCCCTGACCTCACACAGCTCGACGTGAGTGGCACTCCGCTGTCAGAGCTGCCACACTCCCGGCTGTACATCGTCTTCCACCTGCGCACTGTAGCCACTCTTGACGCTGTTCATGTCACAGCTCAAGAGCGGGACCTGGCTCAGCAGAGGTTTGCTCAAGGTGACGTTCCAGCGTTGTCATTGGACCTACTCAATGTTTTACTTCCTGTGAAAATTATTATTAGAATGAGGGTTTGGGCACAATCATGATCATATACAATTCCAGTATATAACAGTTGTTTATGTGGTATCCTATTTCCCTAACAACCTCAGTGCATGACCATCACAACTTTTACCATACGGTCTGCATATCAGGAGCTACATAGGGTCACGGAAACTGAGCAGGAGTGGATCCAGTAGGGGCGGTGGGGTAGCCTAATGGTTAAAAGCGTTGGCTCGTCCATCCGAAGACACGGGTTCGAATCCCCACATGGGTACAATGTGTGAAACCCATTTCTGGTGTCCCCCGCCGTGATGTTGCTGGAATATTGCTAAAAGCGGCGTAAAAACCAAACTCAGTCAGTCAGTGGATCCAGTAGACTGAATTAAGTGTAAACAAGTCCACATCCTTCCCTTGTCCTTCTATGTCCATCCTCGCCCTTTCCCTCTACCATCTGTTCCAGGCGAACTGGCACTTCCTGCTACAGAAGTTCCTTCCCTCCTGGGTCATCATTTGTTGCTCCTTTTACTTTTCCATCATTCCTGATTACAACCTGGAGAAACAACTGAAAAGGGTGGACGTTACTGCCCCTCCTTCCTTCCCTCCCTTGCTGTTCCATTCTTCTTTTCCATCTTCCTCCACCATCCTCTTGTCCTCTGAATACTACACCACTCCCCACCTCCATGCTCCCTGACTCTGTACTGACTACAGGTAAGTGTACCTCCCCTCCTTCATCCCGTGACTGTTTCCAGGTACAGTGACTGTTTCCAGGAGTTGGAGAAGCTGTAGAAACCTCCCCCTCCTTCCAGCCCGTTAGGTAAGGGGGTGTAAGAGTTCCTCCCCCTCCTTCAGCCTGTCTTCCTTCCTCCCTCCTCCTCCCCTCCCCTGGTGACTGTTTCCAGGGAGAGTTGGAGAAACCGTTTACTCCCCACCTCCATCCTCCCTCCCCCCTCCTGACTACATGTACAGTGACTGTTTCCAGAAGAGTTGGGAGTTCCTCCCCTCCTTCATCCCGCTGGTAAGAAACCGTTTAGGTAGAAACCGGGTAAGGGGGTGTAAGGGAGTTCCTCCCCTCCTTCAGCCCGCTCTTCCTTCCTCCTCTCCCTCCCTCCCCCACCTGGCAGTGACTGTTTCCAGGAGAGTTGGAGAAACCCTCCTCCCCCCCTTCATCTCCATCCTCCCTCCCTCCCGACTACATGTACAGTGACTGTTTCCAGGAGAGTTGGAGAACATGTACAGTGGAGGAGAGCAGCTGGAGCAGGAGGAGGTGAAGAACCGCTGCTGGAGGAGAGCCACAACAAGTCGCTACAGGAGAAGTCCCTGCAGGAGGTCACCACCAACCAGATGAAGGTCAAGGACAAGGAACGCCAAGATCAGGTGTCAGAGCTGCAGAGAGAACTACAGGTCAAGAATGACCTGGTGAGCATGTCCTTCCTCTTCAGTGGGTGATCATCGATATGACTCTGCTTACTTCAGGTTTTCCCACAAAACATGACATGGTTATTTTCTGCAATCAAATAACATGAAGATGTTTTTAGATGTTATTAAGCTAGGTGAATCACTGTATTTGAGCTACAGTTATGTAGTGATTCTGTACAAAGAGGCAGTAAAATCGCTTACTCCATAGGCCCTGTAGAAGTCTGATGTTCTCTGTGTGTTTTTGACCGCCTCCGTGGTGTAGTGGTTAGAGCTTCCACCCGGAGAGCGGAACGTTGCAGGTTTGATCCCTGACCGCGTCATACCAAAAGACGTTAAAATATGGTACTTGTTGGTCCCTGCCTGGCTCTCGGCATTAATGAGTACATCAAGGACTGGTCGGCTCAGAGTCAGTATCATGTGTCTGAGTGGGGTATTCATGCTTCACTGCGGCATGGTATCTCAGTGGGCTAGCACTATAAAACCAGCTTAAGTCTGGGCTAGTACAAGCGGCCGCACATACACATACACACGCATGCACGTCGTCATATGAGCGAAATATTCTTAAGCACGACGTTAAAACCCAATTTCACCTCACCTCACCTCACCTCACCTCACCTCACCTCACCTCACCTCACCTCACCTCACCTCACCTCACCTGTGTGTTTTCTGTTTGCAGCTGAAGAAGAAGATGTTAGAGCTAAACAAGGCGTGTGAGAAGCACTACCAGCTGGAGCAGGAGCTGGCCTTCTACAAGATAGACTCCAAGTTTGACAGTCTCAGGGAAGTCCCTCGCCCTCAGGTCTTGGTAGGTGTTTACAAAGTCACACATATCTTTGTAAGATGTCTGTTTGGAGTTCCCCATTCTAGTGATGGTCTGGTACCCTGTATGTCTCTGTCAGACAATCTAGTGGTTCCTATTGTCACCAATGCCCAATGTCTCTTCACAGCAGTTGCCCTGTTAAGATTTGGCTGTGAATGTTGGAAATAGACACCTTGTCACCCTGTACATTACACAGGCCTCTGCCCAAACGTCCAGGGGTGCAGACTTTTAACTGTTTCATTGCTCTTATATTTGATGTAGAAGTTTTTTACCAGCATATATCCAAATATAACTTGTATGGAACAACTTTTAAAGTTATAATTATTTATGGATAGACAACTTCTCTATTGCAATGGATGCAACATTTCCGTGTAGATCCTACAATTTTATCAAGCAAGTTTTAAAACTATAATCCAATTTTAATTATAAACAAGTGCAAATGACTATTTTTGGCACATTAGGTACAGTGTAATGACCTATTGCTATTTATATACACATACCATTACCCGATTACCCTTCTGCAACTTTTCCATCTGGAAGGGCATTCATGGTGATCAACAAGGTGCTCAGGGATGATCATGGTCAGAGGCACTTCAAAATGTTGAAGTATTGAGCATGTTGACGTATGTGAATACACTTTTATTAAATAAACTGTACAATATGATTCACATTTCCATGTTAAATTGTTCAGGACGATGATGAGGATGACAGCGGTCTCCTGGGTGAGAGCCCCTACATTGGCCGAGCCCGCTACAAGGCCAACCAGTATTCCCAGGAGGGGTCACTGCTGGCCACGCCCCAGAAGATACAGATACACTCTATAGCATCTTCCCCTGCCACGCCCGCAGAGCGGCCTGAGGTGCTGGGGCAGTACCACCAGGCAATCACAGCGCAGGTTGCAGACAAACAGCGGGAGATACAGCTAGGTGGGTGTTTTCGTCTCTGTATTATCCAACACATCCTCTCTGTGTTATCCGACACATCCTCTCTGCGTTATCCAACACATCCTCTGTGTGGTATCCAACACATCCTCTCTGTGTTATCCGACATATCCTCTCTGTGTTATCCAACACATCCTCTCTGTGTTATCCAACACATCCTCTCTGCGTTATCCAACACATCCTCTCTGTGTTATCCAACACATCCTCTCTGTAGGTTATCCCTGGATTATCGACATATCCTCTCTGTAAGTTATCCAACACATCCTCTCTGTGTTATCCGACATATCCTCTCTGTGTTATCCGACACATCCTCCTCTGTGTTATCCGTACATATCCTCTCTGTGTTATCCTATTATCATCTCTGTGTTATCCTGGACATATCCTCTCTGTGTTATCCAACACATCCTCTCTGTGTTATCCTGACATATCCTCTCTCTGTGTTATCCTACACATCCTCTCTGTGTTATCCAACATATCCTCTCTGTGTATCCGGACACATCCTCTCTGTGTTATCCGACATATCCTCTCTGTGTTATCCGACATATCCTCTCTGTGTTATCCAACACATCCTCTCTGTGTTATCCAACACATCCTCTCTGTGTTATCCGACATATCCTCTCTGTGTTATCCAACACATCCTCTCTGTGTTATCCGACATATCCTCTCTGTGTTATCCTGACACATCCTCTGTGTTATCCGACATATCCCTCCTCTGTGTTATCCAACACATCCTCTCTGTGTTATCCGACATATCCTCTCTGTGTTATCCTGACATATCCTCTCTGTGTTATCCAACACATCCTCTCTGTGTTATCCAACACATCCTCTCTGTTATCCGGGACATATCCTCTCTGTGTTATCCAACACATCCTCTCTGTGTTATCCGGTGTTCCTCTGTGTTATCCGACATATCCTCTCTGTGTTATCCAACACATCCTCTCTGTGTTATCCTACACACATCCTCTCTGTGTTATCCTCTCTGTGTTATCCAACACATCCTCTCTGTGTTATCCTGACATATCCTCTCTCTGTGTTATCCAACATCATCCTCTGTGTTATCCGACATATCCTCTCTGTGTTATCCAACACATCCTCTCTGTGTTATCCGGACATATCCTCTCTGTGTTATCCGACACATCCTCTCTGTGTTATCCAACACATCCTCTCTGTTATCCAACACATCCTCTCTGTGTTATCCTACATATCCTCTCTGTGTTATCCCACACATCCTCTCTGTGTTATCCGACATATCTCTCTGTGTTATCCGACACATCCCTCTGTGTTATCCTGACATATCCTCTCTGTGTTATCCTCACACATCCTCTCTCTGTGTTATCCGACATATCCTCTCTGTGTTATCCAACACATCCTCTCTGTGTTATCCGACATATCCGTGTTATCCGGACACATCCTCTCTGTGTTATCCCGGACATATCCTCTCTGTGTTATCCGACATATCCTCTCTAGTGTTATCCAACACATCCTCTCTGTGTTATCCAACACATCCTCTCTGTGTTATCCGACATATCCTCTCTGTGTTATCCAACACATCCTCTCTGTGTTATCCGACATATCCTCTCTGTGTTATCCGACATATCCTCTCTGTGTTATCCAACACATCCTCTCTGTGTTATCCGACACATCCTCTCTGTGTTATCCGACATATCCTCTCTGTGTTATCCAACACATCCTCTCTGTGTTATCCGACATATCCTCTCTGTGTTATCCAACACATCCTCTCTGTGTTATCCGACATATCCTCTCTGTGTTATCCAACACATCCTCTCTGTGTTATCCGACATATCCTCTCTGTGTTATCCAACACATCCTCTCTGTGTTATCCGACATATCCTCTCTGTGTTATCCGACACATCCTCTCACCAATGTTATCCACCATCCTCTCTCTGTGTTATCCAACATCCTCTGTGTTATCCAACACATCCTCTCTGTGTTATCCGACATATTCTCTCTGTGTTATCCAACACATCCTCTCTGTGTTATCCGACATATCCTCTCTGTGTTATCCGACACATCCTCTCTGCGTTATCCGACATATCCTCTCTATGATATCCAACTTATCCTCTCTGATTTATGGGCCCAGGAATAGTACACCGCTCTGAAATTCTTCCCTTCAAGCCTGCAGAGCGACAACTTCCACTAATCCTACAGTAATGGAGGGCCTGGTTTTACTCAAAGGACACTGTCATATGTTAGATCTGATTTAACATGGATGAATATTTTCAAGTAATCATGGTACTGAAACATTGACATACTCATGAACATTAAGTGGATATATACTGTGTATTTTAAAATAACAAAACACAGCCATAAGCAGACGATGTTTGGTAGAGTATGATAGTCACAACACTTTTAGAACTTTGTGAAAATACATCAAAATGTTTCTCTTTATAATGGTAATTACCACTATTTCTAGACTGACCATTTATGTAGATATCTGACATTTGTAAATTATATATTTCTGAACAGAAGTAGGAAGAGAGCTTTCATTTGATATGCATCATGACACAAATAGGAGCAGACCAAAAGTAGTATAATCTCACTTATAGTCTGTTTGCAGTGAAAACGTACCGATGAATTTCACTTTAAACAAAAAAGTAAATTAAATAAAGTGAAATTAAGATTGCGAATCCTCATGATTTTGCCTTGCCAACTGAACTTTTAAATCTCAGAATTTTATTCAACTTATGATAAAAGTTGTTTAACAAACGAGCATAGTTTCAAATCGCTATTATTGGTTTGTATTACAAGGGGGTACGCGCAGTAGTTGGAACAGTGAAACAAATGCACGTGTGGTGCGTGATGAGCGTTAACTTAGACTACCGTAGAAACCAACCCTTCTTGTTCTCGGGGTTTCATTTAATGTGCATACCTCCTTGTATTAGTCGAGATATATGGAGCGATCAGATATACCTTCGTAGCTAGGCAACATAGTCTGGATGAAGCATGATTGAAACTTAGCGGAAACCTCACCACCATCTGCTGAACACAAATCTACTTCATGCCTTGGTGGCTGTCTACTATTCTAGTCAGTGTTTCTCTGCCTCTATTTGGTCTCATAAACTCAGAAAATATTCCTCCATAGAATGAAACTAATACTGATTAAAAATGATTGCTAAGAGACAAGTTCTTGGCTGGTAGCCATGGTCACATTAAACCTTTTTGGCACAGACAAAAAATGTCTGTTGTTAGGTAATTGTGAAAAGTTCTATATACGAGCATTTAATGTAAGATTCATCACCATCTTGTTCAGCTGAGGATCGGCTGCGAAGTCTCCAGTCCAATCTTAGCGCCACAGAGGATAAACTGGTCCAAGCAACGCAGGAGCTGAAGAAGATGTCGGAGCGCAAGACTCCGGAGCCGTTCAGTGAGGACAACAAATACAAGATGAGGCAGAAGCTGGCCAAGAAGATGAAGTCGGTGAGCTCTTCCTGGAGTTGCTGATCTTACCAGCGTGCTTAAAATAGAACCTCTTCCTTAGGAAACAGCCATGTGGATATATTTGTAATGGACGGCATAATAATAGTCTTGGAGATTTTGAAACAGACAAAGCCTTTATCAGTCTCAGTAAATCACATGATGACATTCACTGAAATCGAAGATATGGCTCCAAAGTTTTTGTTGGAACAGTTACCGGTAGACACCTTATGGCAAATTCCTGAACATTACGAGTAGTGGAGCCATTTGTACACATGAGACACATAGCATCCCGTCTGTGGAGCTTGCTACATTGCTAGATCTGTTGTTAGCATCATGTCATGACACATTGTGGTTTGTGTAGGTAAATGAAATGCGTGACAGTGCAACCCAGATGGAGACTGAGATCGACCGCCGCCAACAGAAGGTCCAGGAGAACAAGGGCAAGCTTGTTATCTGATCTCTATGTTAGCTCTTGTATAGCCTGCTACATTGCGCCTCCAAGGAGCAGATCGCACATCTTGGCGCCAGGAACCCAGGCGTTGTAAGTAGCCTTACTGACTTATTTCAAACACGCTCGCCGCCTCAAGGAGCAGATCGCACATCTCTGCAAGGTAGCCATATGATCTGTGTATGTGCCAAGGAAAGAGCCCAAACTGAGACGTCAGTATTGAAGGTTTCAGAGTTGACCCTTGATGACAACCAGCTGTGTTGCATTGTTGTATTGCCACATGTATTTTGAATACTCTAGTGACTGCCTCTCCTTATTTTGTGACCATAGTTTAATTGTTTACAGGTTGATTTAAAAATGCCTACTTACATTGACTTTTGACTTTTGTACAGACAACTTCCCCAGTGCTGCATCCATTAACTTCCAAGTACTTTTCAATCAGAGGTTGCATCCATTTAGCCCACTTTTTATTCAATCAGAGGCATCGTTGTTATTGTTAACGCGAATATCTGATGAACTGTTGTACCCAATGTCTTCAAATTTAGTGACAGCCTACATTGGGGATTACGCAGACACCAGATTTGGGTGACCTTGACCTTATTTTCAAGGTCACCACGAACACTGACCACTTTTCAAACTCCTGTTAACGCAATATCTCATGAAATGTACCCAATGTCTTCAAATTTGGTGACAGCCTACATTGGGGATTACACAGACACCAGTTGGATTTGGGTGACCTTGACCTTAATTTCAAGGTCACCACTTCACTTTGACCGCTTTTTCAAACTCTTGTTAGCGTGATATCTCATGAACTGTTGTACCCAATGTCTTGAAATTTGGTGACAGCCTACATTAGGGGATTATGCAGACATCAGTCAATTTGGGTGACCTTGACCTTATTTTCAAGGTCACCACGATATTTTGACCGCTTTTTAAAGGCATTATCTCATAAAACATTGCACCCAATGTTTCAAGTATGTTGACACCAGTCATTTCAGGCATCTTGTATGTGACCAGAAAATAAAAAGTAGTAAATATAGATTTTCCATTCTTTAGCGGCGGGGGACATTGCCATATTAGTGGCAAACACTTGTTGTGAATTAAAACCTCTTTCCTGAACCTGAAATTCAGTGAGATAGCCTAGTAGTTAAAGTGTTTGCTAGTCACACTGAAGATCCATGTTCAATTCCCCACATGGGTACAATTTGTGAGGCACATTGCTGGAATATTTCCAAAAACGACATAAAACAAAACTCCATCATCAAACTCCATCCATCAATCCCTGACTGATTCGATTGTTGCCATGGCAGCCAAAGAAGAAGGCTGAGATGGTTGACAAGGAGCAGCAGATCTCGGAGGACAACCAGGTGTACAGCGAGCTGCAGAACCAGCTTCAAGACATGTTGCAGACGGTTGCCAGGGAAACGTCTGACATCAAGAAGCTGGAGCAGCAGCTCAATGAAGGTGAGTTCAGGTCAAGTCTACTGTCCAGACTATCAGCCATGTGTCCTAGCGGTCAGTTCTACCTCGTTCTATCCTTGTCCATGTAGATCCCAGGGCAGGACTGATCCATTGTCATCCATGTTTGTTTCACTCAACTTGATGAGTGGTCTGACTCTGTGAATAGTGACACCAATGATCCATGACCTTGATCCATGGTCCACCAGGACCTTACCTGCATGTCAGGGATTTACCTTGAGTCCTGTATTTGAGGCTCCCTGGGACTCATACTCTTAATTTTCAGGGGTCATGGGTAGTGTTGGGAATTGGTTGAAATCTCACAATTGATGATTGCTTCCTTACCAACGAACTATCATCGAAAAAATTGGTTAGCGTCATTTTTCAGATTTTCCTATCCAGGTTGTTATTGCAGATATGTATAACATGATGCAACTTGCTACTTTAAAGTGATGACTAATATATCATGAACATAAACTTCCTTGAGTCTTAGAGAAATATTCAGTCATGACTTTTCAGTTAGTGAAGTGAGTTTTCTAAGAATTAAACATGTTTTCCGGCCCTGACACTTCAACGATATGTTCCATTGTCAAGTTTTTCAAAGACTAAAACAGTAGTTCCTAAATCGTTTATGTTCGATTATGAGAAATTGTGATCGATTGCTTGGTCGTTTGGTCACTGCGACCAATCTTCGATTATTTCAATTAATCGGAACACCACTAGTTCTGGGGCTCCTTTCACCAAACACTAAGGTGATCGTAAGTCACTAAGATAGCCTTAGTGCAGTGTTAAAGAATGAGTGTTAAGGTTAACCTAGTAAAGGTTGCTTCGTGAAAGGAGCCCCAGGACTACAAGATGGGGTCCCAGACACTCAAATATTATTATTAATACTATGTAATAGTAATATTGTTGTAATTCAGTTACTGTTATTGTATTGTGTGTCATGATCATCACATTGTTACAGTAATTAAATTGCAAATGATACCAGAACCCGGCTAGTAGCAGACTCAGTGATAACTTACTGTTACTTGATCGAAATTTTTACAAGAAGTATTTGGACTTTTTCTGCGTCCCTGTGGACAGGCTAATAAATTTTGTTACGTCAGTTTGTCAATTTTTGTGCGGATAGGACGCAGGAATCCGCGTCCCATAAATCCCTGCCTGTCACATCTACTGATTATACCAATGGATTGATGACTATGATCCATGGTCCAGCCCTTACCCGCATGTGTCACACATACCAGTGCTACCAACAGATCCATTACTGTGGTCTGTGGTCTACCCACTACCGAAGACCCGTATGGAAAGAGTCCTTTGTCCATGCAGGATCTATAGCCTGGAACAGTCGCCCGCAGAGCCTCAGAGACTGTTGTGACTTTAATTCTTTTAGATCCAATCTAAAAATACACATGTTCAAGATAGCCTTTGAACTGTAGCTCTTTACCATTAATCTCATCTTTATCTTGTGCGCTTTGAGCATGCTTTAGCATGGATATATGCTCGTAACAAAATATGCTATGCTATGTTATGCTACCTGCATGTTGAACTGTTGGGCTTACCTGTGTTCACAAGTTTCACCAGGGGCGGTGGGGAAGCCTAGTGGTTAAAGCGTTGGCTCGTCACGCCGAAGACCCAGGTTCGAATCCCCACATGGGTACAATGTGTGAAGCCCATTTCTGGTGTCCCCCCGTGATGTTGCTGGAATATTGCTAAAAGCGGCGATGCGAAACCAAACTCAGTCAGTCAGTCAGTCACAAGTTTCACCGGTTGTAAAGTTGATAACCTGCGTCCTAGTGATCCTTCCTCCAAGACAAATTCATGTTCACTAGCTTCCACCGGTGCCTTAGTCATCCAGGGTGCCACAATTTGATGTGCAGAGTTATGTCCCTTAGGCACACAAGGATCATATGATCTTAGTTTTTACATTGCTCGTTGGTCTCCCCAAAGTAGAAATCATTCCCTTTCAACTAAATCCTGTCCACTCAAACCTACTCCATGATTCCTCCAGAGCGTATTGAGGCCAACGAGGAGCTGCGTCAGGAGCTGGACGACGTGGTGGACGGTCTCCAGGGTTACCTGCAGAACGTCAAGGACCAGAGCGCCCGTCAGAAGGAGGACTTCGAGCAGGTGGTGAAGGAGAAGGAGAGTCTGGAGGAGCGGGTGCGACGTCTGGATACGGAACTCAAGATCATCAACAGGGAGGCTGAAGAGGGCCAGACTTGGCAGAGGGTCAGTTGAAAGTACAAACTTGAGATGCAGAACTTCTGCATGGTGGATGTATACTGTAGAGAATTTAATTAACCAGATGTCCGTAAGACGTGTTAGACTGTTAACTGTGAGATTTTTATCCCTGAAAGCCTCATTGATCTAGCCAAATGAGTTTGAGATACAATTGTATAGCCTAGCTACCAAACAAAATTAGTCTACGTCGTTTGAGGATAATAACAATTTAGACATAATGTTATCAGAGTCTGTTTCTGGAAATCAGGGACAGGTTGCTCAGTTCCTCACTCACTCACTCACTCACTCCCTCACTCAGAGACCCTATAATAGACACCATATAATAGATATGTTTGGGAGAGTTCACTCAAAGGCATCTCGTTCAGTTAGTGTTTATGGAATTTAAAAAACTGGAAACACACCTACTTCGCAGAGTAAAATCTCCATAGACACTGACTGCATGAGATTTGCCTGCAAGTGAACTAGGCACGCTCCCAGTTTTCATATGTTTGAATTTTAATTCAATTAGGTTTTCAACATCACTGACACCAGACGTAAATTTAGAGTTAGGTTAGAAAGTCAGTCAGTTGTTAGATATTCATAAATTAGCTTAGACAATCAGTGGGGTTTAGTTAGTAAAGAAAGTTAGAGGTTCCTATTCATTCTGCCTGATTATAAAGTGGCTTAGTATTAGAAGCTTTTGAGCAATTAGAACATTAAAAGCAGTTAATAGAGTTAGATATTTAGATATGTAGGGTTAGTTTAGATATGAGGGGTTATGTAAAATTAGTTAAATTCAGTGGGGTTTTGTTACAAAGTTAAAGTTATACATTTAGTTAGTTCTTCACATTGGTTTTTACCCATAAGTGTTATCATATTACTTCTTCAGTTCCTCATTAGAAATAATTGTTATCACGTTTAGTTCCTCAGTCTTACATTTTAGAAAATAAGTGTTATCACGTTTGGTAGATTAGATTAATTTAGCAAATTTACGTTTTCCACAAAAGACGTCAGAACAAGATGTATGGTCTCTGCTGTGATACAGCTGGAATACTGGTCACTGTGGCACTGACCACTACAAACTGCTCATCATTTATGCCATTTGAAATTATTCTCTAAAACAACATTGTCATTGTTGATTGTTCTTTGTTTGAGGGGCGTTGGGGTAGCCTAGTGGTTAAAGCGTTGTCTCGTCACACCGAAAACCCGGGGTCGAATCCCAACATGGGTACAATGTGTGAAGCCCATTTCTGGTGTCCCCCGTCGTGATGTTGCTGGAATATTGCTAAAAGCGGCGTAAAACCAAACTCAGTCAGTCAGTCAGTCAGTCTTTGTTTGAGGGTAGGTGTTCCCAACATCAAACTATCAAACATGACTCCCACGCCCTCACTCATTGAATGCCAAATCATTGAATGTCAATCCAGAGTCCGTGGCCATGTAATTGTATAGCATTTACTGCAGACCAACCATAATGTTATCATTTGACCTTGACCTTTCGGTATTTATCAACCTCTTTGTCAAGAGAGGTGTACAAAGGGGCAGATAACCTCTGATAAGCTGAATGTATGCTTCATGGCTAGCCTGCTATGTTTGACACCAGATGTACAGTGTGGGGCTAACCTAACTATGCTGTTGTTAGTCCTGGTATTACGTACCAGGACATTGCCACACGATGGTCAGAACGGTGTTGTAACAGGAAGCTAGAACTGTAGGGAGTATAGCATCGTGGTTGTCATCTGGCATTTACCTTGGACAGTATACGGTATGACTTGTCACTAACTCACTCACTCACTCACTCATTCACTCAGCCAACTCAGCCAACTCATTCATTTACTCTCTCACTCACTCACTCAGCCAACTCATTCATTTACTCACTCACTCACTCACTCACTCAGCCAACTCATTCATTCACTCACTCACTCACTCAGCCAACTCATTCATTCCCTCACTCACTCAGCAACTCACTCACTCAGCCAACTCATTCACTCACTCACTCACTCAGCCAACTCATTCATTCCCACTCAGCAGCAACTCATTCACTCATTCATTCACTCACTCACTCAGCCAACTCATTCATTCCCTCACTCAGCAGCTCATTCACTCACTCAGCCAACTCAGCTAACTCATTCACTCATTCACTCACTCACTCACTCAGCCAACTCATTCATTCCCTCTCACTCAGCAACTCATTCACTCACTCAGCCAACTCAGCTAACTCATTCATTCACTCACTCACTCACTCTGCAGCAGGAGCACCAGGCCCAGGACCTCAACAAGTCCCTGAACGACCAGCTGCACCGCAGCCGGCAGCTGGATCCCGAGCTGCAGGACCGGCTGGAACATGCCGAGATGGAGGCGCACAACCTACGCAGAAGTCTGAACGACACTGAGAAACGGTCCCAGGTACTTTGATGAAAAACTGTATTTGGATCAGAGGATACATATAAAGTTGAACCTATTCATTTCAGAAATCAGTCATCTGCAGATCTGTATGTAAACATGTTCATGTAAGGGAGTTTCAGCAGCCATGGCACTAATCTATCTTAATGGCACTGGAAGATAAATATGGAAACTGTTGTATGAAAATATTTTAGTCTGTATGTTTGTATTAACTCTGTATCAATGTAAGTTTGTAAGTCAATATGTTTGTAATTAGGTTTGTATACTGGACAAAATAAGTTTGAGATATTGGTATTTTTATGATTGATATTTTATCAGTGTCAATGAATAAATAGATCATTATTCATAATTTCAAAATTTACATATTTTTGTCCAGTATATTTTTGTAATTAAGATTGTATGTAAGTCTGTGTGGCAGTGAAGACTGTACTAAGGTTTGTATGTAAGTCTGTGAGGCAGTGAAGACTGTACTAAGGTTTGTATGTAAGTCTGTGAGGCAGTGAAGACTGTACTAAGGTTTGTATGTAAGTCTGTGTGGCAGTGAAGACTGTACTAAGGTTTGTATGTAAGTCTGTGTGGCAGTGAAGACTGTACTAAGGTTTGTATGTAAGTCTGTGAGGCAGTGAAGACTGTACTAAGGTTTGTATGTAAGACTGTACTAAGGTTTGTATGTAAGTCTGTGAGGCAGTGAAGACTGTACTAAGGTTTGTATGTAAGTCTGTGAGGCAGTGAAGACTGTACTAAGGTTTGTATGTAAGACTGTACTAAGGTTTGTATGTAAGTCTGTGAGGCAGTGAAGACTGTACTAAGGTTTGTATGTAAGTCTGTGTGGCAGTGAAGACTGTACTAAGGTTTGTATGTAAGTCTGTGAGGCAGTGAAGACTGTACTAAGGTTTGTATGTAAGACTGTACTAAGGTTTGTATGTAAGTCTGTGAGGCAGTGAAGACTGTACTAAGGTTTGTATGTAAGTCTGTGAGGCAGTGAAGACTGTACTAAGGTTTGTATGTAAGTCTGTGAGGCAGTGAAGACTGTACTAAGGTTTGTATGTAAGTCTGTGAGGCAGTGAAGACTGTACTAAGGTTTGTATGTAAGTCTGTGAGGCAGTGAAGACTGTACTAAGGTTTGTATGTAAGTCTGTGAGGCAGTGAAGACTGTACTAAGGTTTGTATGTAAGTCTGTGAGGCAGTGAAGACACCTGTACTAAGGTTTGTATGTAAGTCTGTGAGGCAGTGAAGACTGTACTAAGGTTTGTATGTAAGTCTGTGAGGCAGTGAAGACTGTACTAAGGTTTGTATGTAAGTCTGTGTGGCAGTGAAGACTGTACTAAGGTTTGTATGTAAGTCTGTGAGGCAGTGAAGACTGTACTAAGGTTTGTATGTAAGTCTGTGAGGCAGTGAAGACTGTACTAAGGTTTGTATGTAAGTCTGTGTGGCAGTGAAGACTGTACTAAGGTTTGTATGTAAGTCTGTGAAGGCAGTGAAGACTGTACTAAGGTTTGTATGTAAGTCTGTGAGGCAGTGAAGACTGTACTAAGGTTTGTATGTAGTCTGTGAGGCAGTGAAGACTGTACTAAGGTTTGTATGTAAGTCTGTGAGGCAGTGAAGACTGTACTAAGGTTTGTATGTAAGACTGTACTAAGGTTTGTATGTAAGACTGTGAGGCAGTGAAGACTGTACTAAGGTTTGTATGTAAGTCGGTGTGGCAGTGAAGACTGTACTAAGGTTTGTATGTAAGACTGTACTAAGGTTTGTATGTAAGTCGGTGAGGCAGTGAAGACTGTACTAAGGTTTGTATGTAAGTCTGTGAGGCAGTGAAGACTGTACTAAGGTTTGTATGTAAGTCTGTGAGGCAGTGAAGACTGTACTAAGGTTTGTATGTAAGTCTGTGAGGCAGTGAAGACTGTACTAAGGTTTGTATGTAAGTCGGTGAGGCAGTGAAGACTGTACTAAGGTTTGTATGTAAGTCTGTGAGGCAGTGAAGACTGTACTAAGGTTTGTATGTAAGACTGTACTAAGGTTTGTATGTAAGTCTGTGTGGCAGTGAAGACTGTACTAAGGTTTGTATGTAAGACTGTACTAAGGTTTGTATGTAAGTCGGTGTGGCAGTGAAGACTGTACTAAGGTTTGTATGTAAGACTGTACTAAGGTTTGTATGTAAGACTGTACTAAGGTTTGTATGTAAGACTGTACTAAGGTTTGTATGTAAGTCTGTGAGGCAGTGAAGACTGTACTAAGGTTTGTATGTAAGTCTGTGAGGCAGTGAAGACTGTACTAAGGTTTGTATGTAAGTCTGTGAGGCAGTGAAGACTGTACTAAGGTTTGTATGTAAGACTGTACTAAGGTTTGTATGTAAGACTGTGAGGCAGTGAAGACTGTACTAAGGTTTGTATGTAAGTCGGTGTGGCAGTGAAGACTGTACTAAGGTTTGTATGTAAGACTGTACTAAGGTTTGTATGTAAGACTGTACTAAGGTTTGTATGTAAGACTGTGAGGCAGTGAAGACTGTACTAAGGTTTGTATGTAAGTCGGTGTGGCAGTGAAGACTGTACTAAGGTTTGTATGTAAGACTGTGAGGCAGTGAAGACTGTACTAAGGTTTGTATGTAAGACTGTACTAAGGTTTGTATGTAAGACTGTGAGGCAGTGAAGACTGTACTAAGGTTTGTATGTAAGACTGTGAGGCAGTGAAGACTGTACTAAGGTTTGTATGTAAGACTGTGAGGCAGTGAAGACTGTACTAAGGTTTGTATGTAAGACTGTACTAAGGTTTGTATGTAAGTCGGTGTGGCAGTGAAGACTGTACTAAGGTTTGTATGTAAGACTGTACTAAGGTTTGTATGTAAGTCGGTGTGGCAGTGAAGACTGTACTAAGGTTTACCCTCAGATGGAGAGGAAGAACATGGAGAAGCAGCTGCAGGTGGAGAGAGGAAGAGCGGAGCAGCTAGCACGGCAACAGAAGGATGGAGGCAGATCCCTGGAGCAGCTGAGGAAGATGGAATCCCAGCTGGAGGCTGCCAAGGTAAGTAGGGATGGGGGGTGGGGACCACAAGGGGAGGGGGTTGGGATCAGCCAGGGGACCACAAAGGGAGGGTGGGGATCACCATCACCAGGGACGAGGCTGTGGGACCACAAGGGAAGGGGTGGGGACCACATGGGAAGGGGTTGGAAGGGGGCCAACCCTCCCTTTAACAACACCGCATTAAACTTTCACTGCAGTATATCACTAAATTACGTTCAAATGAGTCCAATCCTGCATACAACTGTGTTTTCAACTCTCTCTATGAAAACCTGTTTCCTAATCTGCCAAGCCTGTTTCCACCATTTGGAATCAGAATCCAACCACACATATCTGCAGCTAAAATTGACCTCAATATCATAGCACCTTACCGGCTTCTGTCTTCCCCACCGTGGCAGATGGTGAAACCACAGGTCAATCTTACCCTCACAAAACTCAAAAAGTCAGAAACAAAACCAGTTACTTTCCAAGTGTAACACCCATAGATCCATTTTCACAGACGGATCCAAGGACGATGGCCAAGTTGCCAGTGCTACAGTCATTGGATCCAAGTCTGTCTCCTCTAGAATTCCTGACAACAGTTCAATTTTCACTGCTGAGGCAAAAGCTATCTTCACAACTCTGATCTATATTAAACACCAGAACATTTCCAAAAACTTCATCGTTTTAACAGACTCATTATCTTGCCTTCAAGCACTTCAAAATGTTACTTCAAGTCACCCTATCATCCTAGACATTTTAGAACTTTACAACAACCTTTATACTGGAAAACGTGACATCATCTTCTGCTGGTTGCCGGGTCACGTCGGCATAGCAGGTAACACAAAGGCCGATGCTGCAGCTAAGGCAACTCTTGACAAGCCCTTATCTCCACTGCTAATCCTGTACAGTAATTTCAAACCCACTATCAAAAGTTATACTCGGGACCTCATGCAAAAACAATGGGACACTCAAGTACAAGTTCGTGTGCATGCAGTCAGGGCTGCAACGATTCACCCACACCTCGATTTGATTCGATATTGGACCCTTGATTCGATCATTTTCGATTCGATTCTTCATACAAGTTAAAACATCCATCGTCAACTTGGCGATGTCTGCTAACAACAATTCTCATTGGATAAGTTGCCCGGCGTCAACCAATCCTGTTTCGCCTATACTGCTCAAGTTGGAGTGAAAATTACATTCTGGCTGCGTGGAAATAATTTAAATAGGTATTCAAATATCAAATCGAAATAGTGAAAATGGTTATCAAAATCAAAACTAAGGTGTCAGATACGATTTTCAATGAATCGAACCGAAACGTTGCAGCCCTACATGCAACTCCAAATCAATTAGATAAGTGTTACTTACATGGGTCTGTGTGTCCAGGGTCTGAATGCCTCCCTGCGGGAACAGTTATCGGAGACGAGGAAGCAGAGTGCTTCTGACACCAAGGACACCTTCAGACCCAGTGACCTCAAGAAGAGGCTAAAGGACCTCACTCACAACTTCAGAGCTGGCAAGGTTTGTATGTAGTTATTTAGCTAGCTGTGTAACCACACCCAATAATAAAATCCCCTTTCAAACTTACTTCATTCCAGTAGATTGACAGTGCAGTGCACACAGCCAACCAACAATGATGTTTGTATCACCATGACGTTTCTCACAAGCTATTTCAAACCTACTCCGGAAAAAAATAAAAGAGTTTGAAGACAACCTACAGAAACAGTAGCAGTTATGAATAATGTGCCCAATATGTATGAATGTCTGTTTCTATAGTGATCTCCAGCAAGTGATACCAATCATCGGAGGAGAATGAAATGAATGGAGTATTCTGCTGTGTATCTTGTGATTTCATTGAACACCAACAATGTTCATCTGTCTGGATGATTCTAGATCATTTGCAGGCCCTTGTCGTATAAAACCAGCTTCAGTCTGGGCTAGTACAAGCAGCCGCACATTCACACATACACACGCATGCACGTCGTCATATGAGCAAAATATTCTCAAGCACGACGTTAAACCCAATTTCACCTCACCTCACCTCATATAAACTATACATTCATTAGGGAAATGACTTCAAATGAGACCATTCAAGAATGAAAAAAACATTGCAAGAGTATTGCAATAGTTGGTCGCAATAGACTATCGCTGTCACGATAGCATGCTGCAGTAGATTATTGTTATGTTGTTTCCCCCCTCAATAGTGACCACTAATGTTAACTATAGCAATACTATCACAATCGCAACATGCCATCTATAGTCACCCCTCATTGTGAAAGTGAGGTAAGGTGAAATTGGGTTTAATGTCGTGCTTGAGAATATTTCGCTCATATGTGTATGTGCGGCTGCTTGTACTAGCCCAGACTGAAGCTGGTTTTATAGTGCTAGCCCACTGAGATACCATGCCGCAGTGAAGCATGAATACTCCACTCAGACACATTATACTGACTCCGAGCCGACCAGTCCTTGTTGTACCCGTTAATGCCGAGCGCCAGGCAGGGACCAACAAGTACCATATTTTAACGTCTTTTGGTATGACGCGGTCGGGGATCAAACCATCCGGGCAGACGCTCTAACCACTACACCGCGGAGGCGGTCCATTGTGAAAGTAATCCTATCTGTCGTACAACCTTTACAGTACCTCTGTGCTGGCCCGACTGTTGCATTCAGCTGCAGGGACAGTGGGGTAGCCTAGTGGTTAAGGCGTTCACTCGTCACACCGAAGACCCGGGGTTCGATTCCCCATGTGGGTACAATGTGTGAAGCCTATTTCTGGAGTCCCCCCTGTGATATTGCTGGAATATTGCTCAAAGCGGCGTAAAACAATACTCACTCAGTCACATTCAGACTCGTACAATCGTCTTTGACAGTATTTAGTGGTCGAAGAGGGTTTGAAATGACTGGACTATGCAGATATGGCTTAAAACATTCAGTGACTTCCCTATTTCCTCTGTCCTGGCAGGGTCCCCTCCCCCCACAGAGCAGTGACGACGTCCTAGGGAAGACCTTCCACGACCTCCACCACTACGTCCAGGACAAACTGAACAAGAGCAACCGAGAGGTGGAGGAGGCCAGAAAGCATAACCACAAGGTCAGCAGGCTTGGGTGTATTGTTACTTGAATAACAGATCTAGTGACAAGTTCTTTGAGATTTGTTGTGGCAGTTACCTTTTAGAACAGTCTGATGTTTTTATTTCAAATGTGTGGACAATAGTCAGTTATTGAAGAATCCAATTCTTGGTATGTGAAGTGAAGTGGCTGTTTGACTTGATATTCACTGTGTCCCTGACAATTCAAGCTGCATACCTCTAGTGCACATCGGTTTTGATCTTGAAGAGGCCGTATTTCGATAGGATCCTGTAAATGTGTATGTAAATATGCTTTGTAGTCATGACTATTGGTCATCAGTATTAATGTCTTATGAACTAAAAGCATTCAGGAGCAGGTGTCTGTAGCAGGTGTTAATGGGTCTTAGTAGTAGAGGTGTCTACAGCAGGTGTTAATGGGTCTTAGTAGCAGGTGTCTGTAGCAGGTGTTAATGGGTCTTAGTAGTAGCAGGCAGGTGTTAATGGGTTGTTAGTAGTAGCAGGTGTCTGTAGCAGGTGTTAATGGGTCTGGTAGTAGTAGCAGGTGTTAATGGGTCTGTAGTAGCAGGTGTCTGCAGCAGGGTCTTAGTAGCAGCAGGTGTGTGGCAGGTGTTAATGGGTCTTAGTAGTAGCAGGTGTTAATGTCATAGTCTGTAGTAGTAGCAGGTGTCTGTAGCAGGTGTTAATGGGTCATAGTAGTAGCAGGTGTTAATGGGTCTTAGTAGTAGCAGGTGTCTGTAGCAGGTGTTAATGGGTCATAGTAGTAGCAGGTGTTAATGGGTCTGTAGTAGTAGCAGGTGTCTGTAGCAGGTGTTAATGGGTCATAAGTGGTAGTAGCAGGTGTTAATGGGTCATAGTAGTAGCAGGTGTTAATGGGTCATAGTAGTAGCAGGTGTCTGCAGCAGGTGTTAATGGGTCTTAGTAGTCTGTAGCAGGTGTTAATGGGTCTTAGTAGTAGCAGGTGTTAATGGTGTCAATGGTAGTAGTAGCAGGTGTTAATGGGTCTTAGTAGTAGCAGGTGTCTGTAGCAGGTGTTAATGGGTCTCGTAGTAGCAGGTGTCTGTAGCAGGTGTTAATGGGTCGTGGTAGTAGTAGCAGGTGTTAATGGGTCGTAGTAGTAGCAGGTGTTAATGGGTCGTAGTAGCAGGTGTCTGCAGTAGGAGTTAATGGGTCTTCGTAGTAGCAGGTGTCTGTAGCAGGAGTTAATGGGTCTTCGTAGTAGCAGGTGTCTGTAGCAGGTGTTAATGGGTCTTCGTAGTAGCAGGTGTCTGTAGCAGGTGTTAATGGAGTCTTAGTAGTAGCAGGTGTCTGTAGCAGGTGTTAATGGTTTGTACTAGTAGCAGGTGTCTGTAGCAGGTGTTAATGGGTCGTGGTAGTAGTAGCAGGTGTCTGTAGCAGGTGTTAATGGAGTCAGTAGTAGTAACAGGTCTTAATGGTCGTTAGTAGCAGGTGTCTAGCAGGTGTTAATGGGTCTTCATAGTAGCAGGTGTCTGTAGCAGGTGTTAATGGTTTGTACTAGTAGCAGGTGTCTGTACCAGGTGTTAATGGTTTGTACTAGTAGCAGGTGTTAATGGTTTGTACTAGTAGCAGGTGTCTAGCAGGTGTTAATGGGTCGTAGTAGTAGCAGGTGTCTACAGCAGGAGTTGGTGCCAGTAGGCAGTGCTGAAACAAGCTTCTGTGTCAGGAGTTGTCAGAATCCGTTGCAAGAAGCATGCTACAGGTGTGTGTAGAAGGTGTCTGTGGCGGGTGTGTGTGGTGGGTGTCAGTGGCAGGTGTAACAATGGTGTCCATGTTCCAGGCATCTGTGGAGGTGCAGACTCTCAAGGAAAACCTGAAGAAGGCAGAAGCCGACCTTGCCAAGAGAGGGGGAGAAGACAGACCCAGAGAAGATGGTGCCAACACTTTTCCTAACATAAACACCTACTGTCAGTGGCACTGAGAGACTGAACAAATCATGTCTTTGAATTAATCTCAACTTGAGGAAAATGAACTTTGTAATGCCCTGATATGTGTTCATTGGTGTAATCTTATTTTTTATCAAAGTAACATCCAGAGTTGACAGATATCTATTGAAACAAGATGTTGAAATTTAATAGAGATTTCATACTCAGAATAGTTTTCAGAATTTGTGAACATGTTAGTTTGATATTAAACAGCTGGTAGAACTACCTCAACTTGTGTCTTGAGGAATCCCTACGTCAACACGGAACTAGGTGAAGTGCTTAGTGATTTGTGTGTTCCATGTTCCAGAGGCCCGACAGTCGGAATGAGAGTGCAGAGATCAGTAGACTTGAGGATGAAATTCGAAGGCTGAACAAGGCTTTGCAGGATGCTGAAAACAGAGCACGACAGGTAGGGGAATTTCGACATGGTGTTCTGGGCTGACTGGTGCAGGAATTTTCACACAGGGTGTCTACAGGGTAGATTTCTTTGTGCAATCTCCTGATGCTTGTCATTGTTTGTCATGAGCCTTCCCAAGGATGAAAACCATTTGTCATGGTTTTTTGCCAATCTCCCCAACACAGCATTATTATTTAGCATTTTATTTCTTTTTTCAGGAGCGTCCAAGGACCCGTGTTGACATATGCACCAAGCTCCGACTCCGACCGAGTGAGCCTCGTCCCTCAACTCAGGAGGAGAGTAGAGAGAAGCTTAGGTGTATGATGAACTCCAGCGTGAACTGATGGAGCTCTTATGGAGCGGAGGAACCACGAGGCACCAGGAGGAGGAGAGTGAGAGAAGGGTAGGTGTACAGCATGACTGATGGAGAGAGTGTACATCATGAGAGAAAGGAGTAGGTGTGTACATCATGAATGATGGAGGAGAGTGACAGCATGAAGAAAGAGAAGGTAGGTGTACATCATGACTGATGGAGGAGAGTGAGAGAAGGGTAGGTGTACATCATGAATGATGGAGGAGAGTGAGAGAAGGGTAGGTGTACATCATGACTGATGGAGGAGAGTGAGAGAAGGGTAGGTGTACAGAATGACTGGCGGTAACAGGGTGTAGGGTTACGTCATCGTAGTCTTAAGGTTTCCTTACATAGTGGAAATTCAACAAACACGGCTGACAGGGCCATGATCTACCAAGGTCGGTTCAAGGGTCGGCCGGGTTAGAATACTGGCCTTCAGTAACCCATGCTTGTCGTAAGAGGTGACTAACGGGATTGGGTGGTCAGGCTGACTGACTTAGTTGACACATGTCATCGGTTCCCAATTGCGTAGATCGATGCTCATGCTGTTGATCCCTGGATTGTCTGGTCCAGACTCGATTATTTACAGACCTCCATCACATAGCTGGAATATTGCTGAGTGCGGCGTAAAACTAAACTCACTCACTTACAGGTATTCAGTCTCACATAATAATAATAATGGCTATTCATGGCGTGCCTGTTTCCAAGCACTTGTGCATGCTCAAAGCGCTAACAAATTATTACCATAGATAACCCAAGCAGACAGTGGGGCGCTAGATGGTTAACAGTCAAATGAATTATCCCACCAGGGACCCATTCACTGCTGAGTGAACAGAGGCAATTCATGAACAAACTCACTCGCCGAAGGTGAGACCACTTGTGTCACATGTGCTTTGTTGTGGGGCTGGACATAAGTCATAACTCACATAATCCAGCTGCCAAACACGGTCACCCATCCAAGGACTGTCTGCGACCAGCGTTCTTTAACTTCAACAGATTTGTTACCTGGTCTCTATACACAGGACCACACGGCATGAATTCTTTTGTCTACATGCTGCATGTAGGCTTTTCCTTAAGCTGTCACTGAATTTGATCTGTACAACGACTGGTGTATTGTTTCATTCTAATGTTGAAGCCCATTTCTGGTGTCCCCCGCCGTGATGTTGCTGGAATGTTGCTAAAAGCGGCGTAAAACCAAACTCAGTCAGTCAGTCATTCTAATGTATTGCAGTGACGTTGTCCAGTAATTAAGCAATCCAATTTTTTTGTCCAAAAATGCAAAACCTGCAGCTCAGCTTATTCCAGCTTGCGGTTTTATATTTCAACCCAGATCCTTTGAAGTTGTGTTTTAAACAATATTGGCTGGAGTGTATGAGTTGGAGAGAAGATAAAATAGGACTGCCTCTGATGTATGGACTTTTTATGGTTTTGAGTGGCCTTTTTTGAAGTTGAAGAGTCAGATAAGGACCAACTTTATGGATGAACAACTTCTTTGTTTAGGTGATGCATCATATAGTTGCTACATAAGTGTTGTTATGGTGGAGCTAAGAAACAGGAATATAGTTCCATGAGTATTGATGACGTAATACATAGGCTGATCGGTTGTAATGTTCACCTGTCCTCCTCCCCGAAGGTGCTGGATGCAGAGAATGAGATCGCGCTGCTGACAGAGGAGATGCAGCAGAGGGAGGAGGAGTTTGAGAAGGAGCTGGAGAAACAGAGGCAGGAGGCGGAGCTGATCAGGGTGAGGAGATGGATCTCATTGTGAGAGGCATTCTTGACAGGGTCGCGGTACAGGTGCTGCAGAGTTGCCTCCCTTATCCGTAGCTGTTTGTATCAGTCCCCTGAACGGGTATAATTCACACTGTGTTGTTAGGGAGCTTCATACTTGTTTTCTAATGTTGTTGGGCACAGTGGCACAATGGACTCAGATGTCTTTGACTCCCTGCCCAACAAGGAGGTACTGGTTGTGGGTTTGAATCCTACCATAACGTGACGGATACCGTAAAGTAGTAGCAGATTCCTCATGAACATTACTCTGACAGTGGCATATATATGAGAGTACAAAGTGAAGGGTCCTCTCCTCAGGGTGTTTGACTCCAGGTCAGCCCTGAATCTTTGTTGAACATAAAGGTCCCTCATGCAGAGGCCCATCTCCGTGGTGTAGTGGTGGTAAGCGTCCGCCCGAGGAGAGCTGAAGGTCGGGGTTCGATCCCGATCGCGTCATACCAAAAAGACGTTAAAATATGGTACTTGTTGGTCCCTTGCCTGGCTTCGGCTTTAATGTTACAACAAGGACTGGTCATCGCCTCGAGTCAGTATAATGTGTGTCTGAGTGGGGTATTCATGCTTCACTGCGGCATGGTATCTCAGTGGGCCTAGCACTATAAAACCAGCTTAAGTCTGGGCTAGTACAAGCAGCTGCACATACACATACACATACACACGCATGCGATCGAGTCATATGAGCGAAATATTCTCAAGTACAACGTTAAACCCAATTTCACCTCACCTCATGCAGAGATATATCATATATTTTGAACATTTTAATGAGACTGAGGTGACATTAAGTGTCCTCTCACTGCTGTAGGAGAAGCAGGAAGCCCGCATCCAAGTGATAGCAGATGACCTTGACCTGGCTCAGCAGGCTGCGGACCACCTGCAGGGCCTGCTGGAGACGCGGGACGGACAGATGCAGGACGACATACAGGAGGCTGACATGTCCAACCAGATGATGGGTAGGTGGAAGAATAGGACGCAACATGTTTCCATTTTGATTATGATTATTCCAACCAAGGTTGAAGAACAGCCACTGGAATGTTCAGTATCCTTTGTCTGTAAAGTATAAAAATATCACCTTATGTGAGAAAATATACCATGTTTTCTGATAAGCTGAATAAAATCATAGTATCCAACTTGATGCTTACTTTATAGCCTACAGCAAAGTCTACAATTATCAGTCAGAAAATTAAGGTCTCAAGTGTTCCGCTCATTCATTCGCACCACTGATCTACCCACCACACACACACACACACACACACACACACGCTTGCTGACTCACTGTGCTCTGACTACTAGTGGTGTTACGATTAATTGAAATAATCGAAGATTGATCGCAGTGACCAAATGACCAAGCAATCGATCACATTTTCTCATGATCGAACATAATTAAATTTTTATTGTGTTCATTAAAATTCTGGCAATCTGATTGGTTAACTGGGAACATTTCTTTTGATTTCATTTCCCAATGAATCTAAAAAAATAAGCCACCACCGAACCGGACTACTTTCGGACCTGAGGAATGTCGGGGAATACCTTTACACAGCGAGGGAATTCCCTTGCACTCGGGTACCTTAATGAACTTTGGATAAACATTGAAGTGATACATTGTGGTTAACATAAACAAACAACTCAAAATTATCCGTGAACGTTAATAAAGTGTTTATTTAATAAAAAGTGTTTGTCATAATACATTATTTGACTGGTTACTGTGGTTACCACGCGCAGTCAGCTTAACAGTCGTCTGCAACTTGTCTTGTTTTTACATTCCAACAAGATGGCCGATTCAAGTACGGAAGTTTTGATCTGGGGAATTTTGAGTCGATTTTCGAAGATCAATCTACCGGAAACGCGTTGCAACTCTTAGCCCACGCGGATAACATTGATTTTCCGATGATTTAGACCTGGAAGAAATTGAAAGTTTGTTAGAGATAACAGCATCAACCAGATCTACAAAAAACATCGGCAAAATCACGAGATGACGGTGCAATGCCAAGTGCGATGATAAGCCATTCCAAACACATCGCTTTCAACGCGTTTATCAAATAATGATTTACTTCGAATGGACGACTACAGACAATCAACATCCACAAAAAGAAACACAAAATGGGGTGTTAAACTATTCCAAGGTAGATATACACAATTCATATAAATATTATTTTCAAATTCCATCCTACGTATATTTTCTCAAAACGAAACACAGTTCATCAGCACAAAGTTGTATTTTTAAAAATGGAACAATTATCAGAATGAGATTAAATTATGTAGATCTAACCGAGAAAAATGATTTGCTATAAAGTTACAGCAACCCAAGTCAAAAATACCAGTTCACTCGTTTCATGTCTGACATATGTCGCAATGCCCAATGTAGTCAGTCATGAGACTGCTCATTGCCTTCGCGCCACAGCAATACAAGCCATGAGTGACGCTGGCTTTGAACTTCGTCACATAATGTTTATGAGTGGCCATAGGAATGAAAGTTCCGTGCGTAGTTATAGTCGCCACACAACGACTACTCAAAAACTAAGAATTAGCGAGACACTTTCCGCCATTGTAACGCCTCGACAAGAGCATACGCGATGTTGGAACATCAGTTCATGGCATACGCTAATCCCAGTCACATCCTCGCCCCTTTCCGCTTGCATGCAAATACTGCTTGCCACTAACAATCTCAGTTCCACTAACTTCATGTCATCGGAGGCTTCATTTCCAATTCTCACTTTTCAAACTGTGTCTTTCAGTTCGCTGGTAATAATTCAAATGTTTGAACTTGAAACTTGCCGTTACCGGCATGCGTCCACGCTGTGTTGTTCCGCTCTGATTCGCAACCCCCGATGTTAGCTTGGTTGATTGACAGCTGTTTGGGGTGCTCTATGCTGATTGGCTAATGGTTTTGGTAGCGTGTCATTTTATGTAAATGAGTCACCTTAGTCATGTCAATGCCATTACCGAATTCTTACAATCGAAAATGTTAATGCGTAAATCGGTGGTAACAAAGATATCTGTTTCGATGAATTTGATTGTGTTTAAATAAAATATTGGTGAAAGCCTATAGTATTTGTTGTTGAATTTAATTATAAGGATTGACTGTGTATTTCTTTCGTTGCATTGAGGTATGAAACTAAAACCAATGTGCAAACTTTTGTAAGAATCGCTACGCTGATTCATACAGTTTGCACATTGGTTTTTAGTTTCATACTCAATGCAACGAAAGAAATACACAGTCAATCCTTAAATAAACGATTTTGGAACTACTGTTTTAGTCCTTGAAAAACTTGACAATGGAACATATGTTAGAAGTTGTCAGGGCATTAAAACGTGTTTACTTCTTAAAAAACTCACTTCACTAACTGAAAAGCCATGACTGAATATTTCTTGAAGACTCCGGGAAGTTTATGTTCATGATATATTAGTCATCCCTTTAAAGTAGCAAGTTGCATCATGTTATAAATATCTGCAATAACAACCTGGATAGGAAAATCTGAAAAATGATGCTAACCAAGTTTTTTTGATGATTGTTCGTTGGTAATGAAACAATCATCAATTGTGAGATTTCAACCAATTCCCAACACTACTGACTACACTTAATGTATTTAGTAAGCTACTGTACTCCCTGTACCCAAGGTACTAACTGTACCTACTGTATTGACTGTACCCTCTGTCCTGCAGCTGCCCAGGAGGAGGAGTTGACCCGTCTGTATGACATTCTGGATGCTCAGAAGGAGGAGATGGAGAACCTGAACCAGATGCTGGACTACCTGGCCCAGCAGGGACCCGAGGGAGGTAGGTCTCTCCTCAGCTGATGTTCTAGATTGTAGTTAACCACTAGATGGAACGTATCTGAGATGGAGAACCTGAACCAGCAGGGACCCGAGGGAGGTAGGTCTCTCCTCAGCTGATGTTCTAGATTGTAGTAAACCACTAGATGGAACGTATCTGAGATGGAGAACCTGAACCAGCAGGGACCCGAGGGAGGTAGGTCTCTCTCAGCTGATGTTCTAGATTGTAGTTAACCACTAGATGGAACGTATCTGAGATGGAGAACCTGGCCCAGCAGGGGACCCGAGGGAGGTAGGTCTCTCCTCAGCTGATGTTCTAGATTGTAGTTAACCACTAGATGGAGCATTATCTGAGATGGAGAACCTGGCCCAGCAGGGACCCGAGGAGGTAGGTCTCTCCTCAGCTGATGTTCTAGATTGTAGTTAACCACTTGAGATGGAGCGTTATCTGAGATGGAGAACCTGGCCTTGAGGGACCCGAGGAGAGGTAGGTCTCTCCTCTGCTGATGTTCTAGATTGTAGTTAACCACTTGAGATGGAGCATTATCTGAGATGGAGAACCTGGCCCAGCAGGGACCCGAGGAGGTAGGTCTCTCCTCTGCTGATGTTTTTAGATTGTAGTTAACCACTAGATGGAACGTATCTGAGATGGGAACCTGAACCAGCAGGGACCCGAGGGAGGTAGGTCTCTCTCAGCTGATGTTCTAGATTGTAGTTAACCACTAGATGGAGCATTATCTGATATGGAGAACCCTGGCCCAGCAGGGACCCGAGGGAGTAGGTCTCTCCTCAGCTGATGTTCTAGATTGTAGTTAACCACTAGATGGAGCATGTATCTGAGATGGAGAACCTGGCCCAGCAGGGACCCGAGGGAGGGAGGTCTCTCTCCTCTGCTGATGTTCTAGATTGTAGTAAACCACTAGATGAAGCATTATCTGAGATGGGAACCTGGCCCAGCAAGGTCCCGAGAGAGGTAGGTCTCTATATCTCAGCTGATGTTCTAGTGTTCTAGATTGTAGTTAACCACTAGATGGAACGTATCTGAGATGGAGAACCTGGCCCAGCAGGGACCCGTGGGAGGTAGGTCTCTCCTCAGCTGATGTTCCTAGATTGTAGTTAACCACTAGATGGAGCATTATCTGAGATGGAGAACCTGAACCAGCAGGGACCCGAGGGAGGTAGGTCTCTCTCAGCTGATGTTCTAGATTGTAGTTAACCACTAGATGGAACGTATCTGAGATGGAGAACCTGGCCCAGCAGGGACCCGAGGGAGGTAGGTCTCTCCTCTGCTGATGTTCTAGATTGTAGTAAACCACTAGATGGAACGTATCTGAGATGGGGAACCTGGCCCAGCAGGGTCCCGAGAGAGGTAGGTCTCTATATCTCAGCTGATGTTCTAGTGTTCTAGATTGTAGTTAACCACTAGATGGAACGTATCTGAGATGGGGAACCTGGCCCAGCAGGGACCCGAGGGAGGTAGGTCTCTATATCTCAGCTGATGTTCTAGTGTTCTAGATTGTAGTTTACCACTAGATGGAACGTATCTGAGATGGGGAACCTGGCCCAGCAGGGACCCGAGCGAGGTAGGTCTCTATATCTCAGCTGATGTTCTAGATTGTATAAAGACAAGAGTATTAGGGATGGAACTTATCAGCCTGGTGTCAGTCCACGTCCATTCATCACAGTTGTACATCTCCCAGTGTTTTTGCCATCTCCATTTCAGTTGGCCCTGGGTTTGACGACGAGTTGTGGCGTATCAGACAAGAGGTGAACAACTTGAAGGAGACACTTGCCATGCAGTCAGCCTATGTCCAGACCATGCCTCCTGACCATGCCGGGGCAGCGGGGGTGGCCGCGGCGGCACAGGCAGGAGTCGGCGTTGGGGTTGGTGCTGCACCCCCCTACAGACAACCACCTGTGGTAGGTACCACACAACACACCTGGGAACTTTGGGCAGAATAGGTTACTCACAAGTCTTGTCAGTTAGTGCTACATTGGTCTATGTGGTCCCACTCTGGTGGCAGGTTGCACACACAGAATCGGTTACTCACAAGTCTTGTCAGTTAGTGCTACATTGGTCTATGTGGTCCCACTCTGGTGGCAGGTTGCACACACAGAATAGGTTACTCACAAGTCTTGTCAGTTGGTGCTACATTGGCCTGTGTGGTCCCTCTCTGGTGGCAGGTTGCACACACAGAATAGGTTACTCACAAGTCTTGTCAGTTGGTGCTACATTGGTCTATGTGGTCCCACTCTGGTGGCAGGTTGCACACACAGAATAGGTTACTCACAAGTCTTGTCAGTTGGTGCTACATTGGTCAGTGTGGTCCCACTCTGGTGGCAGGTTGCACACACAGAATAGGTTACTCACTTCAAGTCTTGTCAGTTGGTGCTACATTGGCCTGTGTGGTCCCACTCTGAGTGGCAGGTTGCACACACAGAATAGGTTACTCACAAGTCTTGTCAGTTGGTGCTACATTGGTCTATGTGGTCCCACTCTGGTGGCAGGTTGCACACACAGAATAGGTTACTCACAAGTCTTGTCAGTTGGTGCTACATTGGTCTATGTGGTCCCACTCTGGTGGCAGGTTGCACATCTCGTTGACGCTAACATGGGATTCTATAGCTGACTACCATAATGAGATATTTACTTGCTCTTGTAAACACAGTATACGTTGAACCTTGTGTACATTGTAAGGTCCAGATAGTATCAAGGTCCATGTAGCGAGGAAATCCATGTGACAGAGACCCATGTGAAGATCTTTATGATGTGGGGCAGTGGAGTAGTCTAGTGGTTAAAGCATTGGCTCGTCACGCCGAGGACCCGGGTTCGATTCCCCACATGGGTACAATGTGTGAAGCCCATTTCTGGTGTCCCCAGCCGTGATATTGCTGGAATATTGCTAAAAAGCGGCATAAAACCATACTCACTCACTCACTCACTCTTTATGATGTGGAGATCCTTGTCATGTGAAGATCTTCATGATGTGGGGATCATGTCATCTGAAGATCCTTGTCATGTGGAGATCATATAAGGTGAAGATCCATGCAATTTTGTTTCTTTCCCAGGTGCCACAGCCAACGATGTTTGCGCAGCAGAATGCACCCCCTGGGTCAGTTCAGGTTGGGTCAGCCCCACCCTCCATCCGCCCCACCCAGCATCCCACACGACCTGCATCTAGTCCAGCCCAGGCCCCAGCACCCCACTCCTCACCCGCGGGACGGACCTCCGCCCCCCTGCTGCACTCCTCACCGGCCACGCCCCTTCTCCACAGCTCCCCAGGACACAGTCAGGCAGCTTCAGGAAACGGCAGCGTCCCCCCACCCAGCGCTATGTCTGTACCCATCATGGGAGGCAATCTGGTGAGTTGTGTAACCATATATTCAAAGAATCCTGAATCTTCTAATAACATGCATTAGTTTTTAGGTTTTCAACAAATTCAGTGTCACATGTAAACCAATCTCAGAAGAGTTCTTTGATTGGCATTCTGTGGCGGTGTGTAGTCCTGTGCGTAGAGCTCAGGTCACAATCAGTTGAAGTTAAGCAACGTGGTCGCGGACAGTCCTCGGATGGGTGACCGTGTTTGGCAGCTTGACTCCTGAGAGTATCTAGGACTTCAGTCCTGCCCCACAACGAAGCATATGTGATACATGTGGTCTCACCTTAGGCAAGTGAGTTTGTTCAAACTTGCCTCTGTCCACCCAGCAGTAAATTTGGGTACCTGGTATGATACGATGGTAGTCTGAATTTGAACCTTGAGCACCTGACAGGCGACCGGTTGTATTCTCCACAGGGAGTGTTCTGTACTCGTTGACCAGGGGTAATGTGTCGGCGCTTTGAGCATGCGGCGTGCATGGATAAATGCGCAATATTAATGGACTATTATTATTATTATTATTCTAGAAGTTGGGTAAATGAAGAATGAGGATTATTGTTATGGATACACAACTTCTTTAGCCTATACAGAATAAAGAAGTTGTATATATATAAAAATAGTGCATAAAAATAACCCAGATTCACCATAATTATAAATCTTGGCACTATTGCGATCTTCTATGTTTTCCTGATTACAAGTTCAGTATTTCATTAACCTTGCATTCAAAGAGTTCAACATATATACATTTTTAACTGAATGTGTGGAAGCGGTTATTATTAGTGTGTCAGTCATAATGTGTATGTTTGATGGCAGGGTGCTCACCTCAGCTCACCTCCTCGGATTCACATGCTGGAACACCTCGGCACCCAGAGACGGGAGTCAAAGGCGCCTCCTGGTGCCAAACCTGGCAGTGGGCGACCAACAGAGTCAACTCCAGTCAGACAGTCAGCGCCACCTGGGGCAGAAGGTAACGTTGTTTCTGATAATCTCAACACATGACATATTAGTTACTATTTGATTGACTTAAGACTGGTAGGTAGCAGTCTTAGGATTTCAGACAAAAAATGATCTCAGTCTTAACTTTTAAGACTAAAAAATGTACATGATCCTTGATTTAAGACAATTTTTTTACTTAAGATCAAAATGACAGATTTAAGCAATTTTTAGACTTAAGTGAGCCTGGAGCCTGTCTGATAATGAGGTCTTACTGTTGAACGCAGGTTTCATCGGAATATACAAGTTTCAGACAACCCTTTGATCCAGCATTCTGTTCTCCATGGCTGATAAAAATTTCATCCTTTATTATTTATTTATTTGAAAAAAAACAGTATATTACTCTGAATTGTGTTTGTAAACTGCACTGGAACCTGTTGCAACTTTGTGCTGTTGGTATTTGAATGTACATGTATTTAAGACAAATTACTTGACAGTTATTAAAGACATCGCGCCATGTTAAAATGTGTGTCAAATTTACAAATCAAACAAATGTTTTCCAATATTGTATAAGTCTCTGTGTAAGTTGTAGTGTTGGTTGTGTGTGTCAATACTTGTGGAATGCTTTTATAGCTTACAATTTTGTGGCATTTGTTGTGTGCGTTTTGAGCTGCTAGAAGGTTGCCACCATGAGTCAAGGCAACCTTGATTATCACTGAAGATAAAGTTGACATATTTTGTCATGCACAGTTTTGCGAGTACATTTTGTGTGTTGAAGGTGATAATCAGTATCAAAGTTTTTGTACTTGCCGTGAAATATATAATACAGAAATAGTAAACACTGTAAAACAGTGTGGCTGATTTACGCAAACTGTACAGATGTTTTACTCTATACGTTCAAAAACAGATTGAAGGCGTTTCCTATAAATGTCACTAATAGAATGCATAGTTAATTATTAATTAGTAATATTTTACAATAGGAACAAGGTGACATTGTTCAGTACAAAGCACAAGCCCAGCCTATCTTCATCATCTATCATCCAGGTATTGCTTATTTCAGCACCTTCATCCACATTCAGCATCCTTGTTGTTTCAGTTGATGATGCAGATCGTCTCAGTCAGCGCAGTGAGCGTGCCACAAGTCGCATTTTTGGGCGTAGCCGACCTCAGATGCGTAGGAAAGCTTCGCAACCTTCAGCCTTTGAGCCTGTGTACAGACCTCAACCTCACCACGCACAGTACAACTCTCCCCCACCCCCAGGCTACCCCCCAGCTGACCCCAACATGTACGTTGGAGGGACACCAGCGCAGCCTGTGGGTGGAGAGGGAGGAGTGGCGCCCTGGGGAGTGCCAACTTCGCCAGGTATTGCCGGGCCACCACACGGAGTGCCCGTCCACGGCCATGTAGTTAGTGGTGGCCATCCAATGCCTGGCCCCACCCCAGGACATACTCCGGGGCACGTTGAGGGTACATATGCTCCCTTAGACCCCAGCCACACCCAGGGACTTCCTGTAGCATCCCAAACAGATCCAAGAGTTGCCTTTGGTCCAGTTAATACTGAATATTCCTACCCTGTAGGTTATCCTGAAGGAGACTACCCCGGATACCAGCCTGGTTACCCAGGGTTACAACCTGGGGTACAGCCAGGAGTACAACCTGGGTTCTACCCCCTACCCGCTGGGGGCTCACCTGTCCCCCAAGGGGGTTATTCTGTGGGTCAGCAGGTATACATCCCGACAGGGCCAGCACAGAGTGTGGGGTATAAGCCTGGAAGAGTCTATTATTCAGCAGGTGGGAAAACACCAGTCAGGATCTACTACCCTACAAATGGAAGAATCCCCATGCCTTCATCTGGTCCACCCCCTCCGCCGGGAATGCATAGTGTTGGAGTTATCTCCCCTGGACCTCGCCCAGGATCCATGCCAGTGACACCTATTGCTACGGGGACTCCAATTTCGGATTCCAGACTTTCGACAACTGTCAACTTTGATGGATCATTCATAACACCTCCAAGCCCGATACGTAAGTGTAGTATTTTATTTATCCCCTTGGAATATAAGGCGGTCAAACCTATTTTATTTTGTCCTTTAATATCGGTGTGTACCTGACATAGAAGTACAAGTTTCGAATCCCAGTTCCATGTTATTTTTTCTATAGCTCAATAGGTCCTCTTGTATACAGATGGTCTCATTAGACAGAAATTCTCTCATCAAGCTGGAAGTAACTGTCAGATGATGTGTTCTTTCAAATGTGCGGTGACCGGATGGATTTGTCATCTGATGATTCTTGTTTTACCAAATACAACATGGCAAATGCTTGGGAAACTTAATAGAGCTTGCATACACTTAATATGGGTATACAGTTGTCAATTCTTACAGGAAAATTGTTTATTAAAAAGAAAGGTACATAGATCAATTGAGAGATCTATTCAGATTCAGTAGCAAAATTGACACAAGGACATTCTTGTTGTGCCATCTTTTTATACATATATTTTTCTGTATCTTTACCGAACTTGAATACATGTTGGGGACATTTTGAATGACAGTTAAAAGTTGAATCGATTAAAAACCATGAGTTGGGACTTTGGGATAGATTATGATTGATTATACGTTGTATCCTTCATATGAAAACCCATAAATACAGTTTGCAATTTCACATACACCTCTCCCTAACTGCATCTTGCCACAAACCTGATTGTTCTGGTAAAATATGTTGACATAAGTAATCAAAAATAACACAAACATAGTTAGACATTGCAATTCTCTCATGCCTTATAATCTTGTCCATGTTCTCTTGTTTCTGATTGATCTGATATATATATATATATGGTGGCTTGTTTGCATATAATAGAGAGGATACTAGACGGCCTTCCGTGCAATACCACTTTTATGAAACGAGTTAATGATTTCGTATACTGTAAACGTACTTATTTTCGCGTGGTGCAATTTTCGCGGAATTGACAGTTTAGACTACATCGCGCGGTCAATTATTCGCGCAATCAGTAATTGCCGGAACTGCCAGCTGTCTCTTTGGCCGCCACTAATAGCAGTGAAAACAAACAGAGTGGCTTAACCTGTCAGGCGGCGTTTATTGCTTACTCACAGGAAATCCCTATCTGTGCGATATACTAGTACACAGTAATCCGTTTACTCCACGGAAGAGAGCGAAAAACACATCAGTCTTATGTTCCGAATTCTGACGATCTGGCGAATTAACTTCTGCTGTATATGAAGCTCTTTGTGATTTCAAACAAGCGGGTTGTTGTGAATGAGATGATTAGTGTTAAAGTGACTATTCGCCATGATGTACTGGTAAAATAAAATCTTAATGAATAAATAAAATACTGCTGTATTATTTCTTTCGAGTGGTTTCATGGTAGTCTGTTTTGTATCAAACCATCTGTCATGTGACCAATTTCCATGGCCACAACACACATTGCTGTTTTCAAGCTAATCTGGCGATGGATTTGGCTCATTATTTAATTATGTTTTGGAAATCCATTACAGCTTACAGTTAAGTATGATTCTTTATGCTACTTTCAGTCGAGTCATTTTAAGATTCCCGTAGATTTCTGTCTTCAAACTTGATGTGTTATGGTAACAACTCAGGGGCGAGCGTGGCTAGACTGAATGAATGACAGGTTTATTCGCGGTGTATAAATTTTCGCGCTAAAATGTTTTGCGCGAAAATAAAACCTGCGCGAAATATAATACGTTTACAGTAGTATGCTAAATCTTTCATGAGTTAAATAAAAATGGTATTTCACGGAAGCGAGTTTAGTATTCTGCTTATTACCCTCCAACATATATGGACAGAAACTGCCTACAGTGTGATGACTCTCAGCTTTCCGCGAGTCAAGCAGGGTCTAGTACCATTGTGACAGAGGTATAAGCATTGTGACGTCATAACCGTAAACCATTATGACGTCATACGTCTAGCGGTATTACACTAGTGTAATATTGCCGTAAAATATTACACTGCAGTATCTTCCACGGGCAAGTAATAAATAGAGGATATTATATGAGTGCCCATATCATACAATGTTTACGACTCGAGTATAGGCACAAGTATGGGCACTCATATAATAGCCTCTATTTATTACCGAAATCGTCAAAATGAGGAAAAGAAAATAATAATGAGGAATATAAAGCCAGATCTACTTTCAAACATAGGCTGGCTATCTGCCATCGCGGCATGTAGAAAGCAATGTCGTAGAAGAAATGTGACGTCATAGCATTGTTCATGACGTCACGTCACCATGACAAAGTGATATTTTGCCCTAGGGCATCGTATGAAAAATATGAGCCCCAATTTATTCTCCCTGGTAGGTTATAAATTATTATTATTATCTGAGTTCACAGTTCTGTGGTGCAATGGTATTGTTGATTTTGTCATAATGTCCATATTTTAATGTTGACACAGTGGTTAATATACTGCCACGTGAACTTCCAAACTTTGACTTACTGCTTTCAATACTTAGGTGTTGACTTGGAAGTCACTTTGTCCATATATCCACATTAACTTCAGGTTGTCATAATGTCCAGCCCTTGACGTTGAATTGCGACTGTTATGATATCAAAACTTAAAAAGTTTAAGACTCTCTCACAGTTTTTATTACTTTTCAGAAAGCGATTTAATTCTTTATAAATATTCATGAAGCCAATTTATATTCAAATACAAAAAACAAACAAATTTCTACACAAGCACTATACCTATTCCCTAGTAATGATACTGTCGCAAGATAAATATCTTTCAAAACAGTCGACCCAAATAGCTCCATTAACTCAGCTGTAGTCATGTGGCTGCTTTGTTGAGGCAACTGTTGAAGCGTATCCTGCCTCGATCAAGGGGCAGCAGTAATCCCATCTCACAATACCTGTGGGCGGTCAGCATTTGCCTTGTTACAGGTGTGCTCATTTCAAGGTAACACAACACTTGATTATATCAGTGAGCAACACATGTTCAATGTTTCTGTTGACACACTGGTTATGCAGAATGTTTCTGTTGACAAACCGTGGTTGTGCTCAATGTTTCTGTTGACAAACAATGGTTATCCTCAATGTTTCTGTTGACAAACAATGGTTATCCTCAATGTTTCTGTTGACAAACAATGGTAATGCTCAATGTTTCTGTTGACAAACAATGGTTATGCTCAATGTTACTGTTGACAAACAATGGTTATGACTACAGAATGTTTCTGTTGACAAACAATGGTTATGTTCAATGTTTCTGTTGACAAACAATGGTTATCCTCAATGTTTCTGTTGACAAACAATGGTAATGCTCAATGTTTCTGTTGACAAACAATGGTTATGCAGAATGTTTCTGTTGACAAACAATGGTTATGTTCAATGTTTCTGTTGACAAACAATGGTTATCCTCAATGTTTCTGTTGACAAACAATGGTAATGCTCAATGTTACTGTTGACAAACACTGGTTATGCAGAATGTTTCTGTTGACAAACAATGGTTATGTTCAATGTTTCTGTTGACAAACAATGGTTATCCTCAATGTTTCTGTTGACAAACAATGGTAATGCTCAATGTTACTGTTGACAAACACTGGTTATGCAGAATGTTTCTGTTGACAAACAATGGTTATGTTCAATGTTTCTGTTGACAAACAATGGTTATCCTCAATGTTTCTGTTGACAAACAATGGTAATGCTCAATGTTACTGTTGACAAACAATGGTTATGCAGAATGTTTCTGTTGACAAACAATGGTTATGCTCAATGTTTCTGTTGACAAACAATGGTTATCCTCAATGTTTCTGTTGACAAACAATGGTAATGCTCAATGTTACTGTTGACAAACAATGGTTATGCAGAATGTTTCTGTTGACAAACAATGGTTATGCTCAATGTTTCTGTTGACAAACAATGGTTATGCTGACTGTGTCTGTTGATAAACAATGGTTATGCTCAATGTTTCTGTTGACAAACAATTGTTATGCTCAATGTTTCTGTTGACAAACAATTGTTATGCTCAATGTTTCTGTTGACAAACAATGGTTATGCTGACTGTGTCTGTTGACAAACACTGGTTATGCTCAATGTTTCTGTTGACAAACAATTGTTATGCTCAATGTTTCTGTTGACAAACAATTGTTATGCTCAATGTTTCTGTTGACAAACAATTGTTATGCTCAATGTTTCTGTTGACAAACAATGATTATGCTGACTGTTTCTGTTGACAAACAGTAGTTATGTTCAATGTTTCTGTTGACAAACAATGGTTATGCTCAATGTTTCTGTTGACAAACAATGGTTATGCTGACTGTGTCTGTTGACAAACACTGGTTATGCTCAATGTTTCTGTTGACAAACAATTGTTATGCTCAATGTTTCTGTTGACAAACAATGATTATGCTGACTGTTTCTGTTGACAAACAATTGTTATGCTCAATGTTTCTGTTGACAAACAATTGTTATGCTCAATGTTTCTGTTGACAAACAATGATTATGCTGACTGTTTCTGTTGACAAACAATTGTTATGCTCAATGTTTCTGTTGACAAACAATTGTTATGCTCAATGTTTCTGTTGACAAACAATTGTTATGCTCAATGTTTCTGTTGACAAACAATGATTATGCTGACTGTTTCTGTTGACAAACAATGATTATGCTGACTGTTTCTGTTGACAAACAATGGTTATGCTGACTGTTTCTGTTGACAAACTGTGGGTATACTAAATTTTTCTGTGGGAAAATTATGGGCCAGTAAGGAAACTGGAAGTTTGTTTGTACCTGGCATCTAAGACATTAACAAACACTGTCAAATGCAGAGATGGCGACCTCTACGATTTTTAGTCTCAAACTACGCCAATACGACTGCACTAGAAATTCTTCGAAATTTGAAGAAAATTAATTAAAATTCGTATATATAGACAAAAACATATTTTTGTTGATTAAATAAATTTTCGCCAAAAAGAGACAAGAAGAAGAAATGTAATGCTGATACGAGTAATTTGGAAATCTGGTGTTGTGAAATTGAAGCATACTCTTGATTAATGTCATATCTTTCTCAGGGGGTGGCGGGGTAGCCTAATGGTTCAGGTGTTCGCTCGTCATGCTGAAGACCCTAATGGGTACAATGTGTAAAGCTCATTTCTGGTGTCCGCTGCCGTGCTATTGCTGGAATATTGCTAAAAGCGGCATAAAACTACTCACTCACCCTTTCTCAGAATCTATCATGATTTTAAGTATTTAGTTGACTACTAATTTTATGGTCAAACTACTAATTTTGATCCTTGAAACTACTATTTGCAACACTTTGGGGTTGTCATCTCTGCAAATGGTAAATGGTCTTAATTTTGTTGTTATTTATAGCTGTACTCAGCAATATTCCAAGTACAGGACGTCAGTCTGCTAATTATTGAGTCTCCACACCCAATTCCCTCAGCTACGTGTTACGCCAAGCATGGGTTGTCATAGTAACCCAGATATTCCTGGGCTAGTCTGAAGAGTAATCTCATCTGTCAATCAGTTGCTTCATGAAATTTAGTTCAAAAGGATCAGGGGTCAAAGTGGCTGTTATGTAACAAGTACGTTTGACTAATGATTGTGGATGTGCCTGTTTGTAGGACTTCTGTAATCTCCTTTCACTCCATCAACATGATACGTAAATCATTTTAACAACACATTTTCTCAGGACATCCCAGAAAATATTTTGGGGGGTCAAACTTACAGAAAATGAATTATTCTAGTAGAAGAAATTATTTTTAAAAACCCAGCTGCCACAGACGACGTCCCTATAGTATGTCCCTTGTGCCTGACGCTCTGTACTGGTCTGTGATCAAGGTGTATGTCCCTTGTGCCTGACGCTCTGTACTGGACTGTGATCAAGGTGTATGTGCTGCCAAGGGTGCTAGGTGGATCTGTAGAATCTCCTTTCAACCTGTAGTGAAAGGCCTTTTCTTGGCAGAGCAATTACAGCTGAGTTACCTGTGTATAGTCCTTGAGTGAACCTGTAGGTCAGAAGGAGTTAACTCCAGTCACATAATTACATTGTAACTAGTTGTGGTCGGCCGTGGAATCAGTGTATGGAAAGACTAGGGTGCCAATGGGGATTACAGTTGTATGAGAGGTGTGCTACGGACCTTACGCCTGTGTAGTCACAATACTTCGCCAACACTTGTATGTAGACACGTTATGTGACTTTAAGTAAGTATGTCAGCATTAGAACTTGGCATTAGTCCTTGCCAAACTGCTTTTTAGTTAAGGTTTCCTAAGGAGTGGTAGAAATTTTCCATGTTAACATTTTTGGACTATTGGGCTAAACATGTTAGTGTACATCACTTCATGTTAGTTGATGTCATTGACTGTCTGCATATTATATCCAAATCAAGACAGTAGGCCCATTTGTGTGAGCTGCTGTGGTTAGAGTTGCCTCCCCTTGCTGTGTCAGGCTCCTTTGGTCATAGGTTTGAATCGAAGATCTTTCAGTTTTTAATCTTATCCAGGCATAGAAATACTTTTTTTTCTAAGTGTGCCTTAGGGCACCAGGTAAATATTTTAGGTGTGCCTTTCAGAAATCAAGTGTGCCCACATGTTTTTAGAATCAATGACTGTAGCAAGGATGATGATCTTTTGAAATTTATTGTCAGAAAACAACAAATGTAACCAGTTTTATTGGCGATAAAGTCAATAAATGTTTTTGCCTGGTTGTCATTTGCATAAGTGTTTTGTTTGGTTATTAAGAGTCCAAAGGTGTGTTATGTCTCTAAAAAATTAGACGTGCCATAAGGGCACGGGAACATTTTTTATCTGTGCCATTTTGATATTTACCGTGCCGTGGCACGCTAATTAATATATGGGGTATTTCGAACCCTGTTATCTGTCAGCCAGGGGAAGTTGAGAAGTCTCGGTGGCTCAAAACCCAAATATGTGTACTGATGGTACTTGTTGTTTCCCTGTCTTTGCTCAGATTAAGGGATGAAACAAGGACTGAAAATGAACTCTGGTTATTGCTTGAGGTCATAATGTAGCACTTTAAGCTTTCTGTAGGGAGTGGATTTGGCAAATAAACACATAAAAATCATTATACTCCAACCCTTGTTCAGTTCTCATCTTAAATTTCCATGTTTATTTTGGAAATATCCACAAACGACATTGATGTCATTGTCAAATATGCTCAAATATACTTGCTGAAAAATTTGTGAAACAGTTTGTGTCTAGATGGTCACATACACGGAGTTCTACCCTACGGAGAAGATGAGCTGGGTTACATTAAAAAAGGATGTGAAATAGTAACAAGACGTGTCACAACACAGATGTCTTCTCTGTATTTCGATATAGGTGTGTTACTTCTACACAAAACGGGGCGGTGGGGTAGCCTAGTGGTTAAAGCGTTGGCTCATCACTCCGAAAACCCAGGTTCAAGTCCCCACATGGGTACTAGTGGTGGTCCGATTAATTGAAATAATCGACGATTGGTCGTTGTGACTAAACGACCAAGCAATCGATCATGTTTTCTCATGATCGAACACAAACAATTCTGGAACACTTGTTTTCATTAACAGTATTTTTCACTAGGTTGGTTTTGTCTGTTACATTTCATAAGCACTACAAGCTCGTTCCAAGTCATGATTGAATTTATCTTAAAGACTCTATGAAATTCATGTTCCTAACATACTAGTCATCCTTTAAAGATGTGAAATTTTGCCCAAAAAAACCCACAGAACTACATGTTTTTCTCCATATTTTTTTGTGTATTAACAAATTTCATAAATGGCCCTAACCAATTATTTTCGATGATTGATCGGTGCTAATGAACCAATCATCAATTATGAGATTTTAACGAATTCCCAACACTAATGGGTACAATATGTGAAGCCCATTTCTGGTGTCCCCCGCTAGATTTTCCCAATGTCATTGGCTGGTAGATTGGGAAAATATAATTATGTCATTGAAAATTTGGAGATTTGTATTTTGAGATTTATCAAATGAATGATATATAATTTAGCATATGAACTTTCCAGTTTATTTGTCATTTTTGTCATTGAAAAAGAAAATGACGTAAGATTAGTACTATAATGATAATAAATGGGCAATTTTTCCATTCTACTTTTGAAATTTTGAAGGACTGCAGACTTGGCAGAATACATGTCTCAGAACAAGTCTAGATCACTCTCAATATCATGGCATTTTCCCATGTCCTTACGCTAGTATATGGTACACAGACCAGGACAATACCCTGTGTAGACTACTAGAAAGAATATATATGAAGATAGATACAACAGTATGTGATACACAGGCCATGAAAGGACAAAAACCCTGATATCTATGAAGATAAGTGGATCTGCTGTATGGTTCTGTACATGGCACCTGAGTTCTGACACACTGGACGTTTGATCCTGACCAGGTCAAGCAGGGTCAGTGTTTGTGTAAACAACACCGATCTTTGCTTAATAGACAGGTGCTTGTATCAAGAAGTCAATGGTATAGCTTCACCCTCAGGCTTTATGGGTTTCATTGTATTTTCACTTTGGTTATCTTATAAAAAAAGTGATTAATTTCACAATTAAAATATCAAATTGTACTGAATGTGTCAACTTAAATGTTTGAGGGGGAGGGGGATTGTGTGTTTGAGATTTGTTTATTTACAATTTTGAGTACAAATTTAGGTCATGATGGGATTCCAATTCAAAGATATAAAATGTCATGGATGTGTGTTTACAATTTATTGTGGGATTGAATCTGTTCAAATTGTATTATTTTTTTTTTAAGATCATTTTGAATATGTTCAGTGTGAGGTTGTCTATTTCCTAGACAGGCTTTTTAAATGTTATGCTTTGTGATAATTGTTCTAAACATTGGTCATTTCAGAATAAGGTCACAGGTCAATATCTACACATGAAATAAAGAGTTATGAAGTGATTAATTAAAGATATGTTGATAAGACGGTATTAATGGATATTTAAAGGTCACTAACGACTCTATACGATTATTATTAGATGTTAATCTTTGAACTGAATTGCAGTAGTTCTATTTGACAATTGCTAATTAGGTTCAAGTAAGACTATACCTCATTAACCAATTAATTAATTAAACCACAATATTAATTAGTTTAGCAAATTAGAAGACTTAAATCCCTGTATTACGAAAGAATCTAAAAATTGTAATTGGTTGAAAAATTCATTCATGGCAATGCTTTTATCCGAAATTTAATCTCGCTGTGATCTCTTCTTACGGTGGCTCCCATAAGATTATCCCCAACAAATCCTCCCCTCTAATTCTGGTCACCACAGTTGTCTGACTGGCGGCAAAACCTGACACACTTCTAATGCCTCATTTATACTTGCCCGGGCATGACAAGTCACATGATCTCGTCTTGCTGTAATTCTATAATCAGTCCGACCTGAACAACGCGGGCTAACAAGACCCAGCTGGGAGAAAGGATTCTCATTCTGGTATGACCATAAGGGAGATAACTGAATTTGAGGTGTGAATAAATTCAAACTTCTGTCAACATGGAGTAGCAGAAGCGTCTGTGGATACAAGATGGCCTGAGTTTCTCAGGCTTTGTGAGGAAGCATAGTGTTGGACAGTTTGTGTTTTGTGCTGGTGGTGTACTGAATATATTGTGTTGCTATCCAACAGGATCTGTTGCCATGGAGTCTCCGGTAGCTCCCAGGGGAATTCTGAAGAATGGAGGAGACGGAGTTGCTGTGGATGATGACAGCTATCTGTTCTGTAACGTCCCAGAGCATCATGACCTGGTAGGTGCTGTTTTGGTCCGTTCTGTATGCGAGGCAGCTCTGTGTGTGTGAGTATGTCTGTTCTCTTTCTGTATGTGACTTTATATGTTCTGTTTTGTATGTCATTGTATGTCTGTTCTGTTTTAGGCATTGTTGACTATGATAGTTATCAACAAAGGTACCACAAGGTCATAAATTGGCATTTGTTATGCTTTGATGATTAATTGCAATTATTGAGACACAATGTCATAATTCCTGTATCTTACTGAGACACTATATCATACTACATGTATCTTACTGAGACACAATGTCATAACACCTGTATCATACTGAGACACTATGTCATACTACATGTATCTTACTGAGACACTATGTCATAACACCTGTATCTTACTGAGACACAATGTCATAACACCTGTATCATACTGAGACACTATGTCATACTACATGTATCTTACTGAGACACTATGTCATAACACCTGTATCGTACTGAGACACAATGTCATACTACATGTATCTTACTGAGACACTATGTCATAACACCTGTATCTTACTGAGACACAATGTCATAACACCTGTATCATACTGAGACACTATGTCATACTACATGTATCTTACTGAGACACTATGTCATAACACCTGTATCTTACTGAGACACAATGTCATAACACCTGTATCATACTGAGACACTATGTCATACTACATGTATCTTACTGAGACACTATGTCATAACACCTGTATCTTACTGAGACACAATGTCATAACACCTGTATCATACTGAGACACTATGTCATACTACATGTATCTTACTGAGACACAATGTCATAACACCTGTATCGTACTGAGACAATATGTCATAACACCTGTATCATACTGAGACACTATGTCATACTACATGTATCTTACTGAGACACTATGTCATAACACCTGTATCTTACTGAGACACAATGTCATAACACCTGTATCTTACTGAGACAATATGTCATAACACCTGTATCTTACTGAGACACTATGTCATAACACCTGTATCTCAATGAGACACTATGTCATAACACCTGTATCTAACTGACACACTGTCATAATAATAAAATATTAAGTCATCTTCTACAGCTCACAGTTTCCAAAAACCAATCGATTGCTCGTGGCGCTTAATCAGAATCTGATTCTTATTACCCCGGATAACCCAAACTGCCTGTTAGGCGCTAGAAGGTTATAGTCACATGACTTTATCCAACCAGGGTACCCATTTTCTGCTGGGTGAACAGAGGCAATTTGGAACAAACTCACTTGCCTAAGGTGGGACCACATGTATCACATGTGCTTCATTGTGGGGAAGGACTGAAGTCCTAGAAACTCTCAGGAGTCAAGCTGCCAAACACTGTCACCCATCCAAGGACTGTCCGAGCTCGACGTTGCTTAACTTCAACTGATTTGTGACCTGAGCTCTGTGCACAGGACCACACGTCACCACATAAACACCTGTATCTTACTGAGACACTATGTCATAACACCTCTATCTTACTGAGACACATTGTCATTACACCTATATCTTACTGAGACACATTGTCAATAACACCTCTATCTTACTGAGACACATTGTCATAATACCTGTATCTTACTGGGACACATTGTCATAACACCTCAATCTTACTGAGACACTATGTCATAATACCTGTATCTTACTGAGACACATGCCATAATACCTGTATCTTACTGAGACACATGTCATAATACCTATATCTTACTGAGACACATGTCATAATACATTATCCTACTGAGACACATGTCATACTACCTCTATCTTACTGAGACACTATGTCATAACACCTCTATCTTACTGGGACACATTGTCATTTAACACCTGTATCACTGTTAGAATTACCATTCATAAATCTTTAAAACATCGCTATCAGTATAATCACAGTAAACTGTCAACCCAAATCATGTAAAGTCAACAGTCGTAGTATGTCAACAGACATGGCTGTTGTTTGTGTTTAATAACTCTTATCTGTTCAGTGTGGAATTGTCTCCTCAACAGTCAACACAGAAAGGACATTAGCACACTCTTAACCCTGAGATTGAACCTGCCTGTAGTGTCCTACCACAGTAGTGGGGTTGTAAATATCTCCCACTGTGGGGCCACTCTAACTTGCATGTGCGTTATTGAAGGATATTGGCTTTCATAGAACACAAGTGATAATAAATCAATGGAGATATGATAGACTGGATGTGGGACTTTGTCAGGGTGAGTGTTTTGTTATTGATTTTATTGGGCCCCATTTCACAAAGCCATGTTACTTTGTTAGCACTATTTCTGTCCTAAGTCTGTGAAGCATGAGAGTTTATCAGTTCCTTGGCATGTGTTTCAGAAAGTGATTTGAACACTATTTCTGTCCTAAATGTGTAAAAGTATGGGAAGTACAATCAAAGTGCTAAAAATACTTTCTTTTATCTTGTGAATGCTGCTATCAAACCCGTTCAACAGGAGAGTTGCATAATGACATCCCCCCACATATTTTTGGATAATTATGTTCATTTTTCTATTTAGTATAAAGGTGCAAATTATTGGTTAAGTTGTTCCATATTAAATGACGCCCCAAATGTTGAACTCACCCTGTTTACAGCGCCTTACGCTGAAATTAATTCTCCAGACTAAAGGTTAACAGTTCTGGGGCTCAGTTGTCAACGAGCGATCTTAGCGCTATGATGATTATAACTCTACTGTTTAGATTAGGCTTATCATTGGCATTAAGATTATGTTGGAACAGGGGTTTGGGCTTTCATATCTGTAATGACCTTTGTATATCAGTTGTAAACGTTAAGGGCTGGTTGTCATTACTCTAATGGTCTAAGATAAAATGACATCACTACACCCAACAAGGCATTGCCAGCAACCATTATGTTTAGGCCATCATGCAAGCGACCATGCGGACACATCAAGGACCAAGCCACTATCAATTTCTTTAGCTAAGTTAATGCACCATAAGGATTGCATTGTATAGAACACATGTTAGTTAGAATTTATGAAACAATTCTATTTCTTTAAAAATACGAACTAAATGATCCAGTAAGAGTTCCGCCCATAACCCCCTCTTGAAATGTATACTATTTGAATTAGGTTTCCTTTGAGGGTTTTACGGTTAGGGTTAATTTTGTTTTTAGAATATAAAAGCGCCTATTCTTAGGCATAGCATGATTAAAAAGCGCAGGTTTATGGGAAATCTTTCCAATGATTCCTTATTACAGATGACCTAGAAATAATTATTTCTGAAGTATAGTAAATAAACAAAGAGTTAAATTAAGAATACATTACAGGATATAGAATAAGTGCTAGCTAAATACAAAAGTGCTTCAGCTATGAGTGACATAAGTTTCTTGAAAATTAAAGTATAAATCAAATGAACTTACCCTTTGTGACACAGTAAAGAGAACTGCCCTTAGAAGATGTAGAGTGAAATATGCCAACTGACCACTCCAATTCTGACCAGGGTATCGACATGATTGACGAGATCATACAGAACCAGAGAACAATAAGACCCTAATCACAGGCCAAGCCAGTCACCGACCCAGTAACAATAACCATCACCCTCAAAGCTCCAGAACTACCCAAGCTGTCTACATAAGCTAGCTTAACTATGGATGTACATTTGTGCATGTGTTAAGTAAACACAAATATTTAAATATAAATGTTAAATATTTAGGATTGGATTATTAATTTGATTAGTCTTAGGTTCTTTGAAGGGCATTTAGAAGTGATGCACATACAGGCAAGAATTTTATGGATGTCATCTTCTTTATTGTGACGGGTCACGACGTTTCAAAGTATATTCTTACTCCTTCCAACTTATTATTTGGAAAGTTCACATTTTCCTGGTTCATGGCTGTTTTAGCATTGAAGTTTAATCTTGTGTTGTGTTCTACAGGAGGACTACATTGCTGAACTGCAGGAGAAACTGAGAAAAGTTCAAATCAAGATTTCACATCAAGAGGTTTGTGATATTGACACATCATTACTACAGATTACATGGATAACTTCTTGTGATGAAGTTCTTGGTGTGACACCAGCAACGGCATCACACTCCGCGGCACAGTGATGACTCAGCATAACATCACTGCCACAGGCTAATTTGCATATCACGTGACCGGAGTTTTCTCTTGTTTGTAAACAAGCGCGCATATTCACAATAAGAAGAGGCTGGTCTTAGGCAAGCTTTTCGGCGCGCTCTTCATAATGTTTTACATTGTTACATATATATTCTTCCACAACTGCGACAGTAAGTTTTATGACAGGACAGCACGTGGAGACGTACAACCTATATGTAAACGAAGGATCGCTACGCAAATTGAAATAGTGTTACATGTTTTAGGATATTTTCTCGGTGAAACTAACCATTCTATCAAAGATGTTTAGTTAGATGTGTAGACTCATCAAAAATAAAAGAGTTAAGAAATATGTAGATTATATTAAATGGACTGTGTAAGATGCGATGAATCGTCATTTTTCTGGCCTGTGGCAGAGATACTATGCTGGATTGCCGCATGGAGCTCTGGGTAGGAGAGTGCAACAGCATAGGTCACATTGAACCCTTGCTAATCCAGGAAGTGCAAAGAAATAGTTCAGATTAAGAAGAGCTGTAAAAATGTAATGTCCTTTAATTTTCTGAGGATGTTCCAAACAGTAAATGTACTGAAGATGGGTTTTATATTACAAGGATTTCAAATGGTATTGGGTTTCAGACACTGCTTGTTATCTTACTTGTGAAATACTTTAATTTCATTGGTCAATGACGCTTTAACAAGATTCCGTGTCACCCCTCCCAGGAGGGTGACAACTGGAAAAAATATTACCTGCTGCCACGGTAACCCGCAAAACTCTCCGCCGAGAAGCTGTATCTCTAACAATCGTATGACGTCATAATATGACGCATGCAGAGTCTGGAGTTCGAAAACCGTTCGATTAGGTGTTTTTGAGTTCACTACGTACAGATTTATTTTACCGACTTTCACTTCTTTATTTAAACTATTATATACATTGAATCGTTTGCACACTCAACTTAAACATAATTAAGAATTTTTATAGCAGTGTTAACCTTGTCAGAATATGTTTCACTGATTAAAATAATCCAGTCGAGGGTCAGACGCCATTTTGTTTACTTGTCATATAGTCAGTAGTTAATGGCGTCAAAGGGTAATAATGCAAGTCTGTCGTAGTTCACATATAAGTAAATCAAGTGGTTGCTGATGAACCTGCTCAGAATGAGTGTTGCTATGGTTACAGGACATTCATGAGGAGATAATTATGGATGAAGAGAAGAGGCTCATCCACAGACTCAAGACCGAGCTGGAGGTGAGAGGGAGAGGTGGTCTTTCGGGTGGAAAGGAGGAGAGCATTTTTAATGTGAATTCATGCCCACATAAATAAATGTCATGCATTATGGTAATGTCCACAAATGATGTGAAATCAGGTTTTACAAGAGCGAAACAACCAGTCCTCCAAATTTCCAGGGCCTAGATTTTCGAAGCTCTCTTAGCGCTAAGATAGTTGTAAGTTAGTGTTAATGTATGGCACTTACGACTATCTTAGCTCTAAGACAGCTTCGAAAATCTAGGCCCTGATGTCTTGCTCGCCCTGATTTGTTCCCGTGTGTTTCCTTGTCAACACGTGCACACCTTCAATCCATGATATCCAAGGGACCTGGGGTAGAGAAATTGAGTCAGATTAGGCAACTTAGTTGGGTCAGATTGTGTATCTACAGCATTCATTTAATTCAACTTCACCCAAATAATTCAGAAATGTCATTCTGCAGGATCGTCGAGATGAGCTGGAAGGCCTTGACCTTGCCATTGAGAGGCAGAAGAAGAACCTCAAGAAACTGAAGTATAATGAGAAGAGCATCCGGGAGAAGAGGTCGTCAGCCAAGGAGGAGCTGGAGTTCCTCCGCATGAGGAACATGAGGAGCACCATCAAGAACAAGTGAGTGATTCTAGTTTTTAGTGTGGGAGATGAAGGATGGGACTGACTTGTCTTACTAACATATAATGTACAGGATTGAAAGTCATTCTCAACTCCTTGGGGAGTATACAACCCAAGCTTTCTGTAAGAGAAGGTTAACAGTCACAATACCTTTTCTTTCTAATTTTGAACACATTATAAATAATATGGTATAGCCTAGGGTTAGACTGTTCAGTCATCACCCTGAAGGCCTGGGTACAATGAGACCACCTCCGTGGTGTTGTGGTTAGAGTGTCCGCCCGGAGAGCGGAAGGTCGCGGGTTCGATCCCCGACCGCGTCATACCAAAAGACATTAAAATATGGTACTTGTTGGTCCCTGTCTGGCGCTCGGCATTAATGGGTACAACAAGGACTGGTCGGCTCGGAGTCAGTATAATGTGTCTGAGTGGGGTATTCATGCTTCAATGCGGCATGGTATCTCAGTGGGCTAGCACTATAAAACCAGCTTCAGTCTGGGCTAGTACAAGCAGCAGCACATACACATACATACGCATGCACGTCGTCATATGAGCGAAATATTCTCCAGCACGACGTTAAACCCAATTTCACCTCACCTCACCTGGGTACAATGTGTGAAGCCCATTTCTGGTGTCCTACTGTCATATTGCTGCAATACTGCTAAAAGTGGTGTAAAACCACACTCACTCATTATAACTAATATTTGACAATGGATTGACCAACTTATGGATTGATCATCATCTCAACCACCGGTGTCACAGCTTCAGACTCCGTTATTTCACGTTATCTCCAAGAGTTATTTCAAAGGCTACAGTTCTATTGCCTATTGTGAAGCAGTATGATATCATATACCTCGGGTCTGATCACTTTCTGACTATGTATCATTTAGGTTCTGCCAGTGTTGTTAAAGCCTGCACAAATAAGTAACTTGAACTATTTGCCCCTTAGACAGAGGAAGTACGAAGAAGACGACAGCTTGGATGAGTCGGCGTGTCGCAGCCGTCAGACATTCCTGCAGGATGAGATCGCGTGTCTGGAGAAGACTCTCGCCAAGAGGACCGGGCAGTTACGGGGAGGCAGACAAGCTGTTGAAGGAGTGTAACACTGACCTCAAGGATGCCCGCGAACAGGTAGGGGCAGATAACTCTCTACCTGTGTCATGGCTGTACAAAGTTAAAATGGTTGGAGTAAATATCGCTCTCTACTTCAGTTTAGCTCAAGGTAGGTTTATTGGTTAGACACTGTCTAAAAGAAAAATTCTTTGTCCTTCGTTTTATCTACATTAATTTATGGCGATACAACAGACATAGATCGTTGATCATTTTGTGGATCTCAACTCTTTTGTTTTATTTATATATTCCAAGACTATCATCAAAGAATATTTGAAGAGACCTAAAATTGAATGAAGACCCTTCATTGCTTGAGCCAGTATATGTGTGGCTCTCTTTAACAGAGGTATTATAGATCATTAACTGATTGGTGTCCAGGGTGCCGTTCTACAAAACAACCTTAGTGCTAAGACTGTCGTAAGTCTGTGTTAAGGCATGGGAGTTATGATCACCTTAGCACTAAGGTTGTTTTGTACAACGGCACCCAGAATTGGCAACGATTTTGAAAATGTGATAAATATAATATCAAATTATTCCCACAGAGGCCCAGATAAGCTGCGTATCCGGGTAAAATATGCATATAAAATTTCCAATTACGCGCTGAAAAATAATTGCTGCGTACCAATTACGCATTTAAAATGTTAGATACGCAAAAAGTTTAAAACAAATGCGTACCCGAATATAGTTATATAAATCGCTTTCGTAATGAAAAAGACATCGATTGCTATCAAGTTGTACTGTTAGTATAGGACAAGTGTTGTACTGTCAGTATAGGATGAGTGATTTTTTATGAAATAATTTCCATTATATTTAAGTTGGTTTTGATTAGGTATGACATAAGGCAGAACATACCTGCTTAGTAAACTTACTCAATGACATAATACTTAGGTGAGTAAAATGACTGAAATACGCACATATTTGAAAGCAGTGGGTAACGGAAAATGAAATACCCACTCAACATTCATAATACCCACTCCAAAAAAATACAGTGGGTACAGTACCCACATGAGCTAAATCTTATCTGGAGCTCTGTTCCCAAATGTCCTTTGTTTGAAAGTTTATTATTTATTTCTTCTTTTGGTTGTACATTGTGGTTTTATCTTAGGTGATGTATCAGAACAATTAAAATCATGAT